ACTGTCATATTTAATAGATTACACCTCCAACTACCGTATAAAGAGGTATATATAGACACTTATTTAAGCCGGGTTTTTCAAAATCCATTTCAGAGTTATATGGAAACATTTAACTGAAAAAATCCTTTATCACCGTTATATACCATATATAATAACCGTTCTAATTTATTTGAGATATTTTCCAAAGCCAGAGATATTTCACAATTATATAAAACTTTTATTTCGAAGTTTGAAGCCTTCTTTAAGTGTTGCCAGACCGTAAGAGTCTTAAGTTGTAAACCATAATGAAATACCAAGTACTTTTGAGTATTGAGTCATCTATCCTTTTAGGGGTTTTAGAATTTTGTGTTGCCTGGACATACTATTATTTTTGTTAGCATATTTTGAGTATTATATCCGCTATATACTAAAGTAATGTGTTAAGTTTGACTACAAAAATTATTTTTAATTAAACACATGATCCTATTTATATTCTGCACTAAATCTCCATCAAGTTTCTTACATTTTAGGGTTGTTGCCATCTCTCCAGATCTCTCTTATCTGCGTAAGATCTTTGAGTTTGATTTTCTTTGAGACTTCTTTTCGTGCAGATATTATCGAAAATGCGAGTGGATTGTTTTGTTAAATTTTATATATTTTCAATTTTTGAAATATATATAGTTTTCAGAAAAACTATATATACACAGACAATAGCTGTGTTTCCATTAACATGATTTTTATTATAATTTTATTATAAGTGGTCACGTAATGCAGACATTGTTTATTGATTAAACATTCTTTTTAAGTCGGAATGTTTTTATTGTTCAACTGTGAAAACAAAATATTTAAAAAAAAAATCACACATGAAAACAGAAATGCGAAGAATTTATTATTGTTTTCTATTAAAGCGATAAGTAATGTAAACAATTCTGAAGATGTTACTCACTCTGAATAAAAACTTTGATTCTAATGACCAACAACCAACAACCAAAATTTTAATTAATATCCGAACTAACCATTTGGATGACTACTTCTTTTTCGTCAAAGATAGTGAAATACACTTATTTAGAAAAAATGGACACAGATCATTATTAAAGAACATTTTTCAGTTCAATGGATATAAGTTTTCAAACAGTATTGCAGCATAACAGTACAGGTTTTTAGTTTTCAGGTATAACAAGAAATATAATATAACATCAATGAATACGAAAATCTATTGTAAGTAATGCCATTTATTAGTGTCTATTAGTGGCAAGAACTATCACTAACGGTGTATATAAAAAATGCAGAGAGCTGGGAATAATAATGGCTTTGGAATATTCCATATGTTTATGGCTTCAGTTGTCATAACCACGCCTAATATACTAGAGGAATGCGTGCGATGAGTGCGAGAGCAATTTCCACACCATTCAGGCTTCTTTGAACCTAGTCACAAAGTTTATCGCTAGTCTCACCTGCACGTACGCGCTTTAGCAGCATCCCCTTCATCATCTCCCTAATTTACGCCCCTGCTTTCTGGCTTAGATGAGCCTAGCTTGCTGCGTATTAAGCCTCAACTGATTACTGGAATGAAGTTTCCTCAATACTATGGAAATCTTCTCCATTAATTCCTAAGAGGAGGTTTCAGTAGGTTCAATTCTCACACTGTGACTCTCGATGCTTTCTACCTACTGCAAAAACCAAAATTAGAGGATTGCATGCACAAATTGTAAAAATTGAAGACATCTCAGAAATACTATAAAACTTTAAATACACTTTTACTTATCAAAAAGAGTTGACACTCTCATTGAAATGTATGTAGAGGTCTATCTCCATTTGATATCGCTACTGAAATATATATTCATGTATAACTCATATCCAGCCTGATTAACCTTACCTATATAATATTTACCATTTTAACCTAATTCACTTTATATAAGTTTAAACGAAATCCTTAAGAAAGATATATGTAAAGGAAGATATATCACCTAATCTAATAAAGCAGTCATTCTATCTAATTCCCAATTTTCTGCCTTCAATTCTTATATGAAATATAGACTAATATAGACTCGACAACTAATAAAAATCTCCAAGCTATTGAAAAAATTTATACTAATTGTTTTATTTTTACATTCATTATTTTAAAAAAAATATTTTCTTACAAATATATAATATGCAAATATATATAAGTATATATAAGTATATATTTTCTCATCAAACTTCCCTCTCCTCTCGAGGTATACCAAATCCAACACCAAATACAATTAGCGATTTTCTGTAATAATTTTATCTCAAACCTGTTTGTATGAGAATTAATTCGCTTTAATTAGAGATAAAATAATAAAATTAAGTTCAAATAAGACATAAATTAGTTTGTTATCTGAGAAGACCTTCAAAATTGTGGCATCCATTGAAAGTAATGAAATCGTACATTAAGGGAAACACAATTGACAGTACAGCATAGAGCATAGAGCATAAAGCAGAAGATATAATGCATAGTTGAATAAAAATTATGACTCCAAAAACCCCAACCGCAGCAGAGTCGACCTCAAGTTGGGCACTAGAGTGATTGAGACACCACAGTGTCTGTGTCTGTAGACAATTTAATTTATAACAGAAAAATATTTTATTTTGAAACAGAAAATTGTAGGTATGCAAAGGCAGCAATCTGCACACTACACTTTAAATATTATTGATTTCGAAAGCCACTAAGTACTATTTCAGCATCCAATAGTCTCACTTTCTTTAAGTGAGTAGTAAGTAAGTATTATCACCATGATCCGTGTTATGACCTTAACAAAATGGGTCTGTCCGAAGAGATAGATTATCGATTCTGCTTAGAAGCAGACGACACTTCCAGTCACTTTCTCTGTGACTGTCCAGCCTTGATCTGGGCCAGGAGGAGGTCCCTGGGTCAAAAACTACTCTCCCCTTCTGACATTAGGAGGTTTCATTCGAAAGGCGGATTGTATTCTGTTCGATTAGAGTTTCTTGCAGCACAAAAGATCAAATGTTAGAGGAACTCCGCTCCGTTGGAAGCTGATACACTGTTTATTTCTATTTCTAAGTATTATCAGAAATACTATATTATAGTTTTTGAGTTTATAAAAAAATTTAATACTAAAAATTTAGAAAATTATTTTGTTTGGCTTATCTAAAAGTTAATACCCTGCACAGTGTAATAAACATTCCTTAACTAAAAATTCAATACTGGAGTCGAAATATGATACGTCTTCTGATATGCGACCGCTACGGCTGCAACACGAAGGTCCTGATATTAATACTGATTTGATGTTGGTTAGAAACCTACATAGACCAGTGTGGCATATGACTACATCATTCTAAACCAAGTCTAGACAGTTTTAGACTCACAAAATTGTTAAAAACAGAAGGACTAATCTATTCTCACGCTCTACAGATAACTACTAATGAATGGAAATCGCGCACAACATATAAAACATCCGGTCAATCAAAACTTCATTCAATAAAACCAGGTCAAAGAGAACCATTAACAGGAACCGAGTCCATACTGCTGGGTTAGTTGCAGTTCTTTCCGGTTGTTGATCTATAGGAACCTACACAAAATAAGTTAGCCTTTCTTTCAACACTCAGCCTTGGAAAAGTTGTGGAATCTTGGTTCTAGAAGAAACAATCACATACTGTCAACAGCTAACAAGAGGAACAGTTTTAAGAATAATACCCTATTGACTGTGTGTGGGACAGCTTATCAGCATAAAGGAAAGGATCTGTTAAATTACATAAACTTAACTGGAGGAGTCGAGTTTAACTACAACGGTTCCTTGCCAACTTCGCCGTTTCTAGCTGTTTCTGTATAATGAACTGAATAAATATCTTCTATGAACTGAAGATATTCTGAGTCTATAATATTTATATATATTTGTGGATTATGTCAAGCATTCAAGTTCGAGAGTGTCTTAACGGTTAAACTTTAATTAACCAATATATACAACATAAGCAATTGAAACAATGTATGTCTATTGATTTTGTCGCTTACCAGTCCATTCTAACTTGGAACTAACGAACCTAACCGTTCAACTATTAAGTACTTACCACATCAATTATGTTCGTAGAGTGCCTGAATTGAATGAGTTCAAGACAAAAACGACAACGACAACGACAACGAGAACGAGAAGAAGCAGTGCAGGGAAATGTGTGTCATTCAGTAATTAAATTCATTGTGAAAAGATCAAAATGAAGTTGTGGTCATGCCAGTAACCGAAGCTAAAAATCAAAACAAAATAGTATTTTCTGGTGCTTTTCTTCATGGAGTATTCATAACTTTTCATGCGAGTATTTGGTGTGTAGGTTTGGCATGAGCCACCACATCTACCCGAGACTCCACTGGCACTAGTGAGGCCAGAGAGGCCAGAGAGGCTAGAGAGGTGCAGGCAGAGACAGAGGTTCCGAAATGGCAGGTCCAAAACTAGTTTTGGGTTGCAATGCAGAGAAAGAGGCAGGCGAAGATGGCAGGGCAGAATTATTGAAACATGAAAATGAAAATGATTTTGAAATTGAATTTTTTTTTTTACTCAACCCAAACATAAACAAGAATTTTAAAATTTGAAATTAGATAAATACAAACTTTTAAGTTTTTATAAACTTGAGACTATGAGATTTGAAAAATGCTCAAAATTGTTTATTGCAGCTGAACGCAAAATGTATCTGTGAGATACAAACTCTCGAAATCACTCAGAGGTGTTGTCATTGCGATTTAGTTATTTTTAAAATTATTTTCAGTATTTTTTTTGTTTTTGTTCTTTTTTTCTGATATAAAACTGTTAATAGCAACTGAGAGCGTTTTAGACGTGCAGCTTTTAAGTTTTTTGTAACAACGAAATTAATGCAAATTAACTATCAACTACCTACACTCATACAAAAAATGTATCTACAGAAAATGTGTTTTGTTTGAATTTACATTCCAGCAGCAACGAAAACGAAAACGAATACGAAAGAACAGGTCTATTAAGTATTTCTCGATTTTCTAATATTTTAAATACAAAACTTCTGTTTAACAAATTCAATTTTAGTCTCGAACGCGACATAGAATAGTGAGCAGTGAGCAGTGAACAGTGAACGTCTTGAAGTCTCTTCGACCAGTGCTTTGTGGAGGAAAATTTTTGAAAATTCAGAATTCTAATACTTGAAATAAATTATTTTGTGTTTAAATAAACAAAAAACATTTCAGCAAAAATGTCGAAAAACACTTATATTGTTGCTGTTTGTTTGGTCTTGGCGCTGTGCTTCATGCACAGTGGTAAGTCGTTTTTACTGTCATTTACCCAAAGGACTAAATAACTGAATAAGAAAAGTACTGAGAGAAGTACTGAGATATAAATCATATACAAATACAAATATTAAATCATATTCAATTATATATAATTTATCCAAAACATTTCGTACGCTGAAGGAAATGCATTGAGGCGTGAGAAAATTGACGTAAAAAAAGCTTAATATATATGTTGTCTATAATGATTCAGAACACAAATCAAAGTTTCAAAAAGTGTACAAAATATTAAATTCTTTAAGCCAGATTCTTTAAGAACCCCAAACCAGGAAGAATTTTTTCTTAAAACGCTCAATCCGAGTCTTCTCATTCCTAGTAGCATAAAAGAATTATCGAATTGAAGGCTCGAGAAACTGTGAGGGTATTACAACTGCCCTTGTGTGGATCAAAGGTTTCGTTAATGTACATCTCGAACACCGATCACCGACTCTACGTCTTCAACTTTTTAATATATTTTCAACCGCATCAATTGCACCCTCTGACTAATGCAGCACATATACCAGCCATCCCATATACCATCCCAAAAGACAGAACCTTTACATATCGAATTACTATTTTTTTTAATAACTAACCGCACGAATTTATGATTGTATTCAATGTGAAGAGTGCTATCATATACTTTAACACTAACCAAGGAACACTGTCTAAAGACTTAAAAGCTCAAAGGTAACCAGTTCTGTGAACTTAGAAGACTTCAGTCTTTGAAGATTCTATTCATGTATATTGTGTACTACACTCCTTCAAAACTGATAGAATGCACTCATAATACCCAGGACTACACGAAAAGCATCCTTTCCTTTTCTTTTGTTTTATTCTGAAGTTGCTAATGGAAAAACCTTTACTCCCTTATGTGGGCGAGATTATGGGAATTTCAAGAACAACTCTCGTCCGATCCTCGTCCGAAAAGCATCACAACACACTGTGAATTGAAGAAATCAAGACTCTGTCGACTCAACATTTTTTTTTGGGTGTATATATGGTATGTAGAGTGCATTGATATAATCAGCAGAAAAAATCTTTCTTATGATGAGAAGGAAGGAATTTGGTTTGAGTGAAAGGCCATCAGCAATTACTGTGTAAATGGTGATTTCCAAATAAATCAATGCGACTTCTCATATCCCCATAGAAAATAATCCAAAGTGGTGATATCACACTCATCGAGTGTTTTCTGCAATAACCTGTTGCACAGTTCCATTGAAACTAGGGTTGTTACATATAAATGTCATTGAACAACAAAATTTTCATTTATTAGGTACCCATAGAGATCTGCATTAACGGTAACCGTAATGGTAGCGGTAGCGGAAGCGGTCTAACAGATAGTAATTTTAGAAAAATGTTAGGCAGTGATTGCGTCATGGAATATCAGTATTTAGCATCACTTCTCACTTATTGTTATAATTTGTAACAATAATAGATAATAAAAATGAAACTAAAATGCAGTTTTAAAAATTTCTAGAAAATTGAAGTTATGAAATCTGATATCTGAAAATCAAGAACCTGAGATATTCATTAATAATAATTGAGACTAAATATACAATATTTTGAAGCAAACAACTAATCTATCAAATGTGAAAATATTGTATATGGTATATAGTTTATTAATTTATTTAAACATATAGAAAAATATTAAGCAAAATTCCCCTTTGGATCCCAACAACGCAAATACTCAGTTACATAAATCATTGAAGCCCAACAATCTTTGAGCGCGACTTTGACTAGCTTTGAGTTCATTAGTGTGACGCTGAGACTCCGCTAATCAAACAGAGTCAGTCAGTAGCTTAGTTACAATAGTTGGACTTTGCATACTATAATATGGTAGATACATCAGTAAAATTATTAACTAAAACTTTTAAGCTTTACTTAGGTTTGAGCAATTTTCACTCAAATATTGTAGTGAGGTACTAATTGAAAAGTGAATGCCAAGTATAGACCTTACTCAATGGAACTAGTGTGAAGCCAGAAGAGTGAAATGTGTGGGCACATGTAGCTATGTGTGCTCGTAATTGGCAGCAGTTGACTATCTTTCAAAGCATTCATGGTTTGAGCTTAGATGATGTCACCCAAGCAGATGTCTTCGGTAGCAGAACAACAATTTTGTTTGTTGACATGCCCATATCCACTGAAGAAAATTCGATGCGAAAAATATAATCGAATAGAAAAAATAAATCGAATATTGGTTTTAAATTATAATTTTTCATAAAATACCAACAACTAAAAGCCAATTTGTACTTCAGAAGACATAAATATAAAATATTGGTATAAATATTGGTAGACAAACGACGCAAATTATATTTGTTGTAAACTTAAAGCTTCAAATATGCGCGGCGTCGCCTTAAATTTTTGGGGGCTTTCTTTCTTGAGGATCTTGACGAACTTCGAGACCTCCCTCTATAAAGCAGCATAAGCTTTATTAAAGCTTCTAAATGGTTCTAGCCCATGGGTTCTCAATAATGCGATATCACAATGGGCCTATAATCTTTGAAGTTCTAAGCTTCGAAATTGACCCCGACCTATTTCATGTATTTCTGAACTGCCGGCATTTACAAAACATTTGTAGCGGCATTCACGATCTCAAGTAATAACCCCGATAACCGAGTAACAATGTAGCAGTGGAACCGCCATAACAGTGGAACAATGGAAGAAGAATGAGAATAAGGAAACACAGTTTCAATAAATCTTGTAACTCAAGATCGAGAATACTGCTTAGGCAAACTTTTATTTGATTAGCTCAAGAACTGAATGACATATTTAAATAGTAACCAACAGTCGTACATTAATGGGTGGATAAGTATTATATATATATATCCGGTTTATTTGATTCCAGACGTCTTCATAAATAAATCAATCGCATAAGAATAATTAATAAAAAATGAAAATGAAAAAATAAAGTATTTATTTCACTGCAATTAAGTATTAAAAACCCAATTTTTTTATAATTTTAGGTGATGCCATCAAATGTTACAGGTGCAAATCCTTCTCTGATGCCAACTGTGCTAAAGAGAAGATTGAACCGTCGATGAACATCATGCAAGTTGATTGTGATTCCGAAGAGAAACCTCACACCATGGATCAATATCTGCCGGTTACAAAATGCAATAAGGTTGTCACAAGTGGTAAGTAATATAAGTAACACAATGTAATGTTTTTACTATAATTAAGTGACCAGTGGTTGAAACTCATCTATTGTTGTCCTTCGGTTCTACCCGTGATTGAGCGATAACAAAGCATTTTGATTTATGACTTCCAGTTTGATCATTTGATCAATTATTATTTTCTTAACACTCTATTATTTATAACTCTGTTATTATCTATTCAAACTTTTTTGAACTTCATTCAAATTTGGTTGAGAAACCATGCAGAGTGAAATTGGCACCATTGACTGTAACCTAAACATAATTGCAAGATGTTCTACACCTTAAAGCCCATCAATTGTTTCGCAGAAATTAAACGTGTTATCATTTTAGTATTGAAAGTTTTTTATATAAATTGTGCGACGTCCATCAAGTGGCGCCACTGAAGTAAAGGACTAACCAAAGTAGGGCGTAACCATTTTCACAGACGGTTCCAAAACAAGTAGTGGTGTAGGTAGTGGAGTTTTCTCAGAGGAATTGAACAAATCTTCCTTCTTTAGGCTTCCAGATCATTGTAGTGTCTTTCAGGCGGAAGTGGTCGCCATCAGGGAAGCTATAGCTTGTTTGAATGTAGATGATATATTTGGCAGGAATATATACATACTATCAGACAGTCAAGCTGCATTAAAGTCCTTGAGTTCGGTCCAATTTACATCTAGGACGGTTCTTGACTGCTACACATCTCTAAACGAAATGTCGACGCAGCTCAATATTTCTCTAATCTGGGTTCCCGGCCATAGGGATATTTTCGGAAATTGCAAAGCAGACGAGTTAGCCAGAAAGGGTGCTTCAGTGCCATACTCGGAGCACCTAGACTATCTGGGCATATCACTAACATCATGTAAACTGATATTGAGTTCTTTCTGCACAAATACTTTTAATAAAAGATGGGAAGACTCAACGATATGTAGACATCTGTATGCAATCTGGCCACTTTCCGATAAAAGGGAATCGAAAACTCTCATTGAGATGTCCCGCAAGGACATTGGTCTTCTGGTAGGGTTGATTACAGGGCACTGTAAGCTAGGGAACCATGCTAGAAGACTAGGTCTTCCTTTCAACCAAATCTGTCGTAGCTGTGGGGAGGACGATGAGAGCGCATCTCATCTGTTGTGTTTTTGTCCAGCTCTTGCACGTCGGCGATTTAGTACTCTAGGGGCCCCCTTCCTTGAGGACCTGGACCAGTTACAGGATCGGGCTTTAAATAGCATTTTATGCTTCGCAAAAGGTTCTAGGTGGTTTTAAACCCTGAGATTTTTAGTATTTATATACGGCATCACAATGGGCCAAAAGGCCTAAGTGGATCCACTAGGGATCACCTGTATAACCTAACCTAACCTAACCTAACCAAAGTAGACCACGTAACTTTGGGTCTTTTTTCGTCCTTCGACTTTCGGATATCATTATTGAGTTAAAACCAAAATGGCTTCTGTTCGCATAACTACATCCTTTGTTAATGCAACCAGCTCATTTAACATGAAAGTGGTTGCCAAGTCATTACCAAACCAATTGTCTCCCAACACAGTCGTCCTCCTGCTTGCCAGTGCTGGACATTGCCACAATATATGCATCACTAACTCCTCTTCTTCTAGAAATAGTATGCAAGTATCTTCCTCCATAAAAGCTATATTTCTAGGGTGATATTTAAAGTTTCCATGTACAGTGATCAGTGAGTTCCAGTTCCAGTGAACTTAGGGCGATTTGCAAATATCTAGGCACTTCTATCGCTTCAGTGACCATCGGTTTTGGCACAGGCCGCAGTCATGTTATAGCCCAATGGTATTCTGGGTTCTGAGTCGTAGAAGTTATGGCTTAATCCTTGCTTTACAAATTCATTTGCCTTTTGTTTTGATCAAAACTGAAGTGTTCTTCAATCCACATGACTGTTACCTCCTTTCCATTAGCACATTTCATGCGCTTCGTGCACATTCTTTTACTAAGCTGTTGATTACGCATGTCTTTTCCATGCTATTGATCACTGCTTCATTGTCCAGCGCTATCAGAATCTTTTTCTGATACACCCGGCAATATAATAGATGGTCCAGAGCATGAGTGACCGCCATAGCTTCCACCTGGTAAACGGAAACATATTTTCCTAAATGTGGACACTAGCTTTAGCTCTTTCGAGTAAACTGGTAAAGACGCAGATGTTATTCTATTCACATTCGTCATATAGAAGGCGATCTACTATCATTGTTCTATAGGACACTTCTGCCCCTTAACTCTCCTCATAGTCTCCAATGGCTGATGTGTTTCCTTGACCACGTCCCATATATTTCTCTCTCTTTTTAATACTTCGTTCTGTAGTTCTGTATATAAACTAGAACGTTGATCTTGCAAAAACAGTGCCAGCAAATACCAAGGCACACCTACCAGAATTGAAGCAGCAGAATCAGGTAGATCCACCTGGTAGATAGTCCTCTATTTTACTACACTTGAATAAAAATTTTGTAAGAAGGATTTTGAGTTATTGTAAGAAGGAACTTACTCAATTGATTTCTCCTAACCTTTGCATTGAAAATATAATAAAAATATTAAAAAATATTGGATACTAAGAAATTTAGTGTCATATTTTATGTTATTACATTTAGTTATTCAATGACTAATTTACATTCAATGTAAGGCCAACATATTGGTCAAGTGTGATGTCATGCTAACTCTCAGTTTTCAATATCACATAAAACCTATTTAGTTGTATAATCCTCTTCTGTCATACATAAAATATATCTTATTAATCCGGTACGTTTCGAACGGGGAACGCAAGTAGGTTTCATGGCCAGATAAACTGGCTAAGCCGAAAGTTACCTGCCAACTTACATTTCATTATCTTATATATGGGAATACTTCTATATTGAAATCTTATAAAGAAGAATTTTTTCAGATAGTCATTTTGAATTGTCGTTTAAAATATTGTATTAAATGTGTGTAAGAAAGCAAAATATCGTTATAAGCATGCAAATATGTAAACCAAATAAAAAACAAATAATAAAATGTAAAAAAGTCACGTAATCTTTGAAATATTCAATATTTCCAACTTAACCAACTGGTTAGATATCGGACAGACATTCGATATCGGACAGACATTCAAGCCAAATAACATAAATTCGTTTTTCAGCCAATGGAGCTTTATGACTTAACGTACGTTTTATTTTTTCGGTGTTCAAACTGAGAAAAAGGTAATGTACAATATTTATATACATATATATATCATAAAGACGTCTTTACTATGATCTCTAAGAATAAAAAATTAAATATTTATCTCTGCTTAATTAAGCGGTCTATGAGAAGTGCACCCATTCTACACACTCTCTTAAGACAGGCACTTGTTTAATTAAATAATATGTAAATTATACGAGACTACATAACTGAATAACTGATAAATAGAATCTAATTTGCAGCTACTTTGGTATGTAAATTTGTTCATTGAAATTCAATTAAACGTTTCTAAAACGTTTTTAATTTATAATTATTTCTTCAACAATGTTTCGAAACAAATTCCAAAAAATACAGCTTTTTAAAAAGAAATAGCTTTGTTGCAATTACATCAAGTATTTCACTCAGCAAAGATCGTATGTTAACATCGTATATAAACAGAGACCGCACATATTGCTATTAAAGACCGTAATGTTACGAACAAACACCGCAAGTTACGGTCTTTATGCCACAGACCGTATTATTATAAAAATGGTCTGCGCGAAGTTAACGAAAACCTCAATGTTACGGTCTTTATGTTGGCCGTCTTTGCATTGGGAAATATTCTAACACACTTTGTATTAAGTTTTTCGGTCAGCAAAGATCGTATGTTATCACATCAACAAAGACCTCAAGTATTGCCATTAAAGACCGTTATATTACGAACAAACACCGCAATGTTACGGTCTTACGGTCTTTGTAGGGCAGACCGTATTTATTATAAAAACGCTTCAGTTTGGTGAAGTTCACAAAGACCGCAATGTTACGGTCTTTATGCTTCTGATAAACTGAGTCTGATAAACTTTCATAGAAGTGTCATCCTAAGAACGACGGCACCCCTCATGTGCAGTTTCCAATGCAATGATATCGAAATTTTCATTAACAATCATTGAAGTTTCAGATTTTGTCTCAGCGATTTTGTCTCATTTCTGATGGCTTATCCTCCCGCCTTTTTCTTTTGTGGTTCAAGCTTTTGTGTCACTTCATTAATTGGTTGCGCTTTATATCATAATTTACTTCTCCACTTTTCAAAATACTGAAAAACATTGCCTTTCTCCTCTTCGTTTCAGATAATGCTGGTTTAATTGTGTCCCGTGGCTGTCACTTTGAAATTGTTGGTCAGAAAAAGGACGAATGTAGCGTGAGTCATAGTCGCCAAATTCAAAGCTGCCATATCTGCAAGGGAGATCTCTGTAATGCCTCGTCAGCTGGACGTTTCGTTGCTATGGGAATGGCGGCTCTTATTGCTGTGGTCGGCATGCAATTTGTTCTATAAGGAAATTACAATATTTTTCAATTAATTTTATGATTTATTTTTATTTTTATTTTTTGTTTTTTTTTCCGGAGATTTTTTTTTATTTCTCAACTATATTTATAATTTTTTTTTTCAAGTGTAAGCCATTCACATTTTATTTGTTATGTAATTTTAATTCTGTGGAAATAAAAACGTATTCGGTTATTAGAAAACAAAAATTATTTAATTATTATTAAAGAAGAAAATTACACACCAATCAAACACGTTCCAGTGGTTCACATGTAAGTGCTTTCCATCTATTATTGGCAAATTGCAGAAAGTAGAGGGAGGTACTTCTCTTAATGGTATCTAGGGTAATATAAACCGGTACCGCCAATGACACATCCAGGGAAGCACCAGAGCGGACTAAACTGTCAGCTTTTTCGTTTTCTTCGATGCAGTGACAGTAGTCTCCAGGAATATGGAATTCTCTATTTTATAGTGAAAAATTGTATAAGTTTCTAATTAGTATTGACTATAATAATAAAACGCTTCAGTTTGGTGAAACATTCAAGCTGTATAGATTCATATAATAATTATAAATACTATTTAGGACACACTAATACTAGTGCTGATGATAGCTACCAAAAAATCCGAATGCTTTAGCAAATTCAGTTTTTAGGTCGTGTGCGAGTTAGTCAAGGAAAAAACTAAAGTGAGACATATACATATATAATTATTCATACAGTTTAGAATTGTAATTATTTAGAGAAGGATCTAAGATCAAACCTTATAAGAAATACGGTGCAATAATAACCGCATATTCAATTATTCCTATTCTCACGCAATCTTTTATCGTCCTATGTAGTTAACCCGTTACTGAACCGAGGGCTTAAGAGAAATGTTCGTCCTGAACTTAAATTAATATGAAACAACATTAAAGTGATTCTAAGTATTTGAGAGATAGTTCCTGCTAAGAGGTGCATTATGTTAGTTTATGTAGTTCAGATTATTGTGATTTTTAAAGTATTATAAATTGCAGGTTTACTCACAAGCAGGCACCTGCACCTAACAATTAATATATCAGCAGCACAACTAAGCCAATCAACTTAAACTTAACCATACGCAAAACCTGCAATATTTATTATATTTAATAATGCTTCATTGCCACATATTTAAATATTAAATTAATTTATTATATTATTAAATTAAATATTAAATTGACATTAGTGCTTGTACAGCGGCTACCACATCCAACTAGTGTCTCTACTAATTCCCCTGGTTGGCAACGTGAACAATAATCATAACAAACAAGTAAAGCAGAAGTGCCTTCAGTCATTTTTTTGTTTTGTTGATTTGTCGATTAATTTATAGTAGTTTAAAAATACTTTTCATTTTATAAAGTCCTTAGTACAATAAAAATAATATAATATGTTTAAGTATGTGTTCGTAATACTTACAGTTTGCATAAGTGGTAAGTAGCGCTAGTTCTAAAGCAAACAAGAGCTTACTAGGCGTGTTGGGTGTGGTTTCTATGCATGATCAATCATTTCCATCAATTAAAAGGTATTCTATGTTCTTCCTATTACTATACGATTCTTAGGTTACTTAGCAATACGTTGCTATCAGTGTTCTTCGGATCAGGATCCCAAGGGAGTTGACAATTGCGGTGCATATAAACGATTTAATCGTACCGAGCACATACCAATCGAATGCAACAACGAGGAATCCCATATGCCAGGTTCGTTTTGCATGAAAGTAGTCCAGCAAGGACCTCGAGGGTTTATATGTAAGTGTTCAGTCCCATATTAAAATATGGTCATTTATTTCAATATTTAAATAATTTCCCTTTAGGGGATGGACGATGGCGTCAGGTGATACGCCGTTGTGCTTCCGTAGCAGAAACTGGTGTAACGGGAGTTTGCAATTGGGGCGTTTATGAAAATGGTGTCTACTGGGAAGAGTGCTATTGTGCCGGTGATAGCTGCAATGGTGCTGGCAACTTGACGGTGGGCAAAGCCCTATTGAGCCTAATGCTGTTGAGTGGAGTAGTGTATAGTTATTTGAAATCATAACACACTGTTGATTCTACTGTTTTTAACGTCCCTAAATGTGTGATAAGTGAAACTAATGCATCAAACATTCCAATCCGTCCAGAGTACAAAATTTAAATTTTGTGCTTTTTAATGTTTAGTGTTAAGTTCGAATATTTAATTTTAATTTTATTTTCACTTAATATTTAAGTAAAACATAGACATATATATCAAGACATATATCAATATAAAAATACGAAATCTGTACAATAAACAATTTATATGTTTCATCAAACTAATGAGGCTAGAAGGTGGTGTCAAATGTTTTCGCTTATTTAACTGATATTACTTAGTGTATCAAAACCAATTATTCACTGGATCAGTGCCAAATGTAATCAGAAACTTTCCTACCATGTCTGGTGAATATAACTGGTATGGTAGTCTGAGGTTACCTGCTGATATTATCCCTCTTTAGACCAGTTCACCGAAAGCACCAGTTCTGTTAACGTTAAGATTTCGCGCTGTAGCATCTTGTTTTCCAAAAAGTTTATATAAAAAACTTGTAAGAGAGGAACCTTAATAAGAATGTTTTCAGACTGCTTTTATGTCACGACTTCGGACTTTAAATATTCTATACCTTCCGCAACCCCTATTACCTCGCCATCGTCTACCAAATAAAACTCATTACCACTTACTTATATTTTGAGTATAACTAGCAACAAAGCAAATAAACTTAACACTTGGACCCTTGCATGACTTACCTCAATAAAATCTTTCGTTTAGGAATGAAAATTAACAAAATGTGAACAGGACATGTGAATTTTACTAAAGTGTTCAAGGAAGGAAAAAGGAATTCCAAATAATATCGGTTCGAAGGCTTAGACTCTTGCTAAGCTTTTGAATTCCATCAACATAATCTAAACCTTCTAACGAGGCTGAACAAACACACTCTGATGTTATTGTGCTCGTCGGGTTTACAGGGTTTATCAAGATCGTATTAAATGACTATTGTTGGTACGTTACAAAATTATGAATGGTAGACCTAGAGCCTATATTTTAGTATAGAATGCAATTCAACTACTAAAATTGTGCTCTTCAATTATTATTAAATCTGGACTCCGATGCACGATGTGTGTGTGTGTGTGTGCGAATCATCTTACAAATATATACTTTCGACAAATACAGTTACAGCCAATGATGAAAGCGCACTATCGTTTGTCATGGCAATAATACTGTACGTGTCCTTGTTTCTAGTACAGTTAGCGATAACAGTTAGCCATATTAAAAACAACAGCACTATAAGAGAAGAAACATCATCATCATCATCATCATCCGTGACTATACAAACCATGTAGGACCTAAGCCTATTTCACAAGAGTCTTCCATTCTTCTTTGTTTTTTTGCTTTTGTTTTCCAATTCCTTATGTTCATTTCTTCTAAGTCCTGGTGCACACTGTCTTTCCATCATTTTCTTGGTCGCCCATAAGAGAAGAATAATTACACAATAACATATAGAAACATATAGAAGACTTATTTACAAAAATTCTGATTAGTAAAAATATGTATATATATATTTATTCAGTAAACAACAAATTCTTTAAGACTTTGATTCAGTGACACATACAGCTTTATTACATTAAAAATGGTTGTAGAATAAAAAATTTACTGAAAAATCTCGTAAACTGAGTTAAGAAACTACTATCGGCTTAAATTTTTAAACAAAGATTTGTCGATGTTTTGGAATTGCGACGGATATACACTTAAATACATAAAATAATACATTACTTTCTATAATTATTCTGGAGCGCAAGTGAGCAATTATTAAGGAATTTGTCACTTTTCCTTGTTAATAACATTACAAATGCCCATTGAGCTTGAGCTGGAGCGCAATTCGTCAAATAGTAAAAAAAATATATATATATAAAACGGACAGGTACTTTCTGACCGTACCCTCATCTTAAATTACGGCATTAATGACAATTTAAGTTTAATTTAACTAAATTATAAAATTAAATACGAAATATTCGAGTTTGAAGTCTGTGTTGGTTTCTTGGAATGAAGTACACGATTTGGACGGCACAATTTGAAGATTCTTAAATGTTTTTTTTTCTGAATTTTCAGCTTACAAAGTAAATTTTTATATTTTCTTTTCGGTTTTGTGCTGCTTAGTTTTTAGTTTTTAGTTTTAGTTTTAGTGAAGGCACTTAAATACTTTCTCAAGTATGGCAGTCATTTCTTAGTAATACACGGACCACGGAAACCCATGCCAAGGCTTATTTAGCACATTACTTTAAATAATAGATATAATATGTGTATAATCCGAATAAATCCGAATGTATTAAACTAGCAAAACTGCACTCGCAAAAGTTCTGCTTTAAAATCGTATCAGCCATGCTAAGGCACTAACAATCGCTGCAGCCACACCTACTTCAATGACGTTGCTGCGCAGCAAGCCCGCGCCGTTGCAGCCGTCTTTGCTGTTGCACGTACAGTACTCCATGAAAATGTTATAGCTGCCAGTACGCATCAGGCAGAAGCGTTCATCATGCTCAATACCTGGTTCACCCAGGTAGGCGCAACTACGGAAATATCGCCACTCGCCGTGGACTTTTTGCCGTATCTTGCGGCACATAGTTGCTGTGACATTGGGCAAATGTGATGGCGATGTCTCATGACTGCAGTCAGTCATCGAAAGCGTACTGTTGTCGAACGGATTGCCGCACTTGGGGTCAGTGTCTGAGCGACAGTCCCAGCATTTAATCGCAGTAACTGCAAAAAGAAAGAGAAGTCATTTAAGGTGTTCTAAATTTCATGTTTACGCTGTTTACGCTGTTTACTCTACACACCTGTTCCCACCAACAAAAGCATCAACAGCACCGTCAAACTAAAAAACTTAACTGTATTCATTGTATTTTTTTGGGAATTAAAACGATTTAATTGTTAAAAACAGAGAATTTATTTTATTTTACTATTATTTTACTAAATAAAAAACACGAAATAAACATACAACAACAAATACATAAAAATAACACGCCTCGCCCAAGTCTGCTGGTATGTTTGTTGATTAATGTATGGATCAAGTGTTGTAAAACGACTAACAGCATTATTTTTTACAGTGCTTAGGTCACGTCTTCACATACGTATACACATTAAACATGTGCATCTGTCGTACGTTGTATCATATAAACGTATGCATATATTTTCATCACTATTATACATAACTTTTTATTAGTAAGATCACAATATAATTTTTTAATCACCACCTATCAGAATAATCGTTTGTTTTATATTTTACTAATTAGGCCTTTGGTGTATTTTACAACTATAGGTCTGTTTCACGAGCTACTCGTAATAACTTTGAGTAACACTGTGTATACACAAATGCGTTTCACCAGCAAATTCTCGAGTAAATGAGAGCATCTAAGGGAGCGTAACATCCGTGTCGAAATTTGAAAATGCTACACAGACTTAACTCATATATATTATTTCAAGTAAAATTTGTACTGATGTGTGAATCAGCTGTTTTGGTTTGAATTTAAATTTTTGTATTATTTATTTGCGCGGCACTGGTGATCTGACCAGATTTCACACAAAACTGTTCCATGAAAATCTGTGTGAATCTATGTTCATTTGTAAATGGAAACTCAAAAAAAATTAAAAAGTTTCACATAGTTGAAAAGTGTGAAAATAAAATATTTTAAAAGCAGCCAAAATTATGAAAAATAATTATTTTAAAACTATACAAAAAAATTTTTTTTTTAGCAATACATGAAGAAATTGAACTTTGTTTTTGATTCGTTTTTTATTTCCATTTTATATTATTTATTTATTTTTATATAATATGTAGTTTGCTTGCATCATAAAAACATAACATTTGACATAACATTAGCGATTTTAGCCGTCTATATATTAATTCAAACTTTGTATAAAACGTAGTTATTAAGCAATAAATTTTAATTTTTCAATTGGTTAGTGATGAGTATTATATACTGCCGAATAAATAGTATTTTTCTAGCGAACTGTCACGAAAGCAGTTTTAGTATGTTACATAAAAGAAAAATAAGTGAAAAAAGTGAAATTAAAACGAAAATTAAACTCATTTTATATAAGTATTTATTTCTTTTTATAATATTTATTTTCAATTTTTTCAAAATACTTCAAATTTTGAAATCAATTTAAATTTTGTAAAACAATTTACAGCAATAAGAATCAGTTGATGACTTACGAAATATCCAAATAGTGTTATCAGACCTCGATACCCCGGTTACGTTGTAATAGTATAAAAACCAATTTTTAGGGAATTTTTTTGCTAACTTGCTAACATATTGTTAACATGCTAAAGGCACGTTAAATTTATAAACATGTATGAAAAGTTTTAATTATTCAAATAGAACACTGTGAGTGTTTTATTACCCATTATTATTAAAATTTATTTAAATTATTTTTATAATTACTAGAGAAAGAATATATAAATAAACTGACAGCTGTCGTTTCAGTTGTTTTATCTCTTCGATAGAATAGAATAATTTAGCAATTTGTTACATTTTCTTTAAACATCATTTTATCAACTAAGAAGGGGATTATCATGCTAAATAAAAATCGTGAAGGTCGTGAATCATCCATCACAAAAACTATTATATTTTACATGATATGTATGTTTATACATATCTGGTTAAATGACGTTATATGGAAGTAATCGAACTATCAAGGCGCCATCATCTGACAAATAACAATAGCACGAGCTTGAAATTTCTGACGTTTACTGCGGAGTTATCCGCTGTATTTTTCACATATTTTTTTTCATTAAAATTGCACTTAATCTATTTAAAAAATTAGCAATTGTGTTTTTCAAAAAAAGATTTTATTTGTGTTTCTTATATTATTTAACGTCTATGTAAATGCAAAAATATTTTCATAACGATGGTGTGGTCAAAAATAAAAGAAAAAGGGTTCACCAATTTCTTACAGTTAAGTTCAAAATTTATATATGAAGTATCAAAAATTTGTCTTATATGTAAAGGTTTTATTAAAACTTAAGCATTCAACAATTTTAATTTTATTGTTACTTTCATGAAATCGGATAGATTCATTGGCATAGAATTGTGTGAATCAAAGCAAAGAATTGTGTGAATGATTCACACATAAAAAAGTGCTGAAGTTTTCTGTCGTCTAGATAGGCTGGTACGTGTGTTTATTACTTAAATGTATTATTAATTAATATGTATATCATCAATTGTTGTTTATACAACTTTTAGTTCAGCTTATTACTTTCTCAGAGCAAAGACATGCACCCAGTAGAGGTAGCAGACTACTTTAAGAAGGAAATTACCGCTTTATTAAAATTAGAGATGAATATTTTATAATGTGTCAATAAATTGTAGATAATAAGTATTAATCAGCTGATTTTCCCAACTGTGGCAAATGAACGACTTCTGCTGTATATATTTTCAAATATAGATGCAGAAGATTTGCACAGTACTTATTTCTAAACTGCTATAAAACATTTTGTGTAATTACAAACACAATCAAACAGACTTATTTAACACAATTAAAAATATACTGCAGTAATATTAATAATACTTTCAGTATTTCAAATGTTTATCACATTTAATAATGCTTTTTTGATACACATTTATATATTAAATTAATTTGTTATATTTGGCCCATCTATTTATAAATTGACATTAGTGCTTGTACAGCGGCTACCACATCCAACTAGTGTCTCTACTAATTCCCCTGGTTGGCAACGTGAACAATAATCATAACAAACAAGTAAAGCAGAAGTGCCTTCAGTCATTTTTTTGTTTTGTTGATTTGTCGATTAATTTATAGTAGTTTAATAATACTTTTCATTTTATAAAGTCCTTAGTACAATAAAAATAATATAATATGTTTAAGTATGTGTTCGTAATACTTACTGTTTGCATAAGTGGTAAGTAGCGCTAGTTCTAAAGCAAACAAGAGCTTACTAGGCGTGTTGGGTGTGGTTTCTATGCATGATCAATCATTTCCATCAATTAAAAGATATTCTATGTTCTTCCTATTACTATTCGATTCTTAGGTTACTTAGCAATACGTTGCTATCAGTGTTCTTCGGATCAGGATCCCAAGGGAGTTGACAATTGCGGTGCATATAAACGATTTAATCGTACCGAGCACATACCAATCGAATGCAACAATGAGGAATCCCATATGCCAGGTTCGTTTTGCATGAAAGTAGTCCAGCAAGGACCTCGAGGGTTTATATGTAAGTGTTCAGTCCCATATTAAAATATGGTCATTTATTTCAATATTTAAATAATTTCCCTTTAGGGGATGGACGATGGCGTCAGGTGATACGCCGTTGTGCTTCCGTAGCAGAAACTGGTGTAACGGGAGTTTGCAATTGGGGCGTTTATGAAAATGGTGTCTACTGGGAAGAGTGCTATTGTGCCGGAGATAGCTGCAATGGTGCTGGCAACTTGACGGTGGGCAAAGCCCTATTGAGCCTAATGCTGTTGAGTGGCGTAGTGTATAGTTATCTGAAATCATAACACGCTGTTGATTCTACTGTTTTTAACGTCCCTAAATGTGTGATAAGTGAAACTAATGCATCAAACATTCCAATCCGTCCAGAGTACAAAATTTAAATTTTGTGCTTTTTAATGTTTAGTGTTAAGTTCGAATATTTAATTTTAATTTTATTTTCACTTAATATTTAAGTAAAACATAGACATATATCAAGATATATATCAATATAAAAATACGAAATCTGTACAATAAACAATTTATATGTTTCACCAAACTAATGAGACTAGAAGGTGGTGTCAAGAGTTTTCGCTTATTTAACTGATATTACTTAGTGTATCAAAACCAATTATTCACTGGATCAGTGCCAAATGTAATCAGAAACTTTCCTATCATGTCTGGTGAATATAACTGGTATGGTAGTCTGAGTGACACTGGAGAATTTTATAAAGCGAAGCGCTACTGATTATGGAAACTACTCTTGCGCGGAGATGTGCTGGTTTCAGGTTGAGTTATTTGTTTTTGCTGGTGCAAAATCAATCCAGAGCAAGGTTTAAGAGGCACCAGGTATTACAGTAAGAAGATACGACATGTTTAGAGATGCGTTGTTGCAAACTGCCATAACATCACCATGTTTTGAGTGGAATAGAAGCTACTGAGACTGGCATTGATTTGAAAAGAATTACCAGAAGTAGACGAAGATGAAGTTCATTTATTTAGGGTGTTATTGAACAACAAGTTATTCTAAAGGCAGGGTTGCGATCAGTGTGACAATGTATGCCTGAACAAGGTCGAAGGTTGCACCAGACGTTACAACTCATGGATGTTTGATTTTTGGTGATGGGATGACGCAGACTGTACAATGTCAGGAAGAAGGGGTTGCTCTACCTGTACCGGGGGTTGTTAGTATAATCGAAAGTGAAAGGAAAAGATATTTTATTTATGGTTTTGTAGTATAGTTTTATTTCTATTGTTTTGATGACTTGCTTAATTTGGTGGAACGATTTTTGGTTGTTGAGTTTTACAAAAAGTCGTCGATTCAATTTTACTTCAAACGTTTTTATTGTTTTTATTGTTGTTAAACCTGCGACTAATTTCGCAGCTTCGATTGAAAATAGTTTAATTGCGTTTTTTTTTCTTATTTTTTCCCCATTCAGGGCTTAACTCTTGATCGGTTTTCACAATTAAAGTTTACAAGCAGTACTGCCTGATTTTCTGTCACTTAATCTCAAATTCATAGTTGGTTTTCACAATCTCATTCCGATCGATTTCGAAGTTTCCACGAAGAATTCTTTGTCTAGATGTTCCTCTCCTAATCCCGAGCTCATTATAGATCTCTACATTAACGACTACTTTCGAAATTTCAAAAACAAGCACTTAATGCTTTTTTATATTTATATCCTATCTTAGTCCCGAGCTCATAAGTACTAATTTTTTCTGCAATTCTGTTAGAAAAACAAATTTAATGATAAAATAAATAATAAATGAAAAAAAAATTGAAAATAAAATTGTAACGTACCCAACTTCAAGACTGATGGAAAGCACTATAAATGCCAATTCACCAATTGGCATTCCTGATTTAAGGAAGAGCAGAAGATGTTTAGAATGTATTTGCTGTCATTGCGCTGGTGCATCTGCAGCCTGTTCTTCTCCTTCACCATCAGTACAAGACTACAGAGAATATTAAGAGAATTGGAGAAAATAAAGTTAATATTTTTATATAATTTTTTTGGTTTATTGTCGAAATAAATGTACCTCAATGATTTCAATCTTCGCTCGTAGTGCCTCCAGCCCATTTTTATACCAACCTGCTGCGGAATCGTTTGCCACTGCCCCATATATCATCAGCGCACCATCAACGGATGATTTTACGGCCATAAATGACTTTTCCTTTTCCAACCACAAAGATGTGATTTTAGCAGCCTCCTGATTTCTGGCGTTATACTATTTTTATAGAATAAATCGCATTTAATCGTATATCCAAATTTACATATATGCAGAGATAGAATCGTATCTTCTTAACATAAATGAAAATATATATATTTCAAGCTTAAAGTATTGTTCTGATCTATAGTAATTTGTTCTTTTAAAGAGGAATCATTATTGGCTATTATTTTTTTGAATTAGTGTTTAAAATAAAAATTTTATAAATATTATTTCTTTATAAAATTTGCCATTTAAAAATTGCACATTTGGAATGAGATTGAAATGTTGAGTTAAAACACAGACAGATAGATAGTTACACGATAGATGGAAGGAACATACTTAATGTAGTGATGCATGGTTAAAAGACGAATTTTCAAGAGTATCAGCAAATTGAATTTGATGGAAACTTAAAGCCTGCATAACACTATACAGTGTTTATAATAATGTGGAAAGGAATGGAGTTTTACTAGTCTTTGAAGTAAAGTAGAAAGCAATAACAGGTAAGCAGTTGTAGACTATGAACCAGCTCACCTCTGAAGTCCATTACTTACAGATGGTTATTTGAATAAATTCATATCTTCAGAAAAGTGGTGTAAAATAACAAAGCGATACTTCTAGCTAATTTAAAACCTAATGAAAATCTCATTACTAAGAACACTTCTATATGGATGTGTAGCGTTCAGTAAGGCCTCAAACACTACTATTCGACAGGTGGAAATTGCACAAAGCCAGGCTCTGAGAAGACTTTTCAAGGTACCATGGTAAAGGATAGGAGCCCTGACATTATTTACGAAAACTGACAGGCTTACCAACACCGCGTTATTGAATCTCAGAATGGTTATAGGCTCCTCGGGGAGGTATACAGATCTGAGGTCAGTTATTGCCTATTCTGAAGAAGTGATAAACAATAAACCAGTCAAGGCGTAGAGATGGATTATGAAGAAGCATCGCAGTTAATAGAGAGTAAAAGTACTCTAATATACTGACTCAACTAGCCTCAACATAATAATTAAAACCAAATTAAAATATATGCATAATACATATAATATTAAAAAGTGAACAAAAAAAAAAAAAATAATGAAATGAATTATTTTCTATCTTTGAAATTACATATTAAGAAATGTATTTTAAAAATAATTGGGGGCTTTCTTATATGATAACCTCATTCAATAGCATTTCCGAGAGACTCTTAGGAAAAGTTCCCATATTATTACTTACCCACATCTCATAGATGTTCAGTGGCTGATGTTCGACTGTCCAATGAATAACTTTCAAAAAGTATTGCATAAAGCGATTGGTATACTTTCTAACATCCTGATTTTCACAAGCACTGAACTCCTTACACGTCTCCAGCGTGGTTGTGACCAGTTCAACATCTTTAATGTACTAATAAATTAAGGCAAGATCTACATCTATTTTATTCATCTTACGTTACCTTTGAAGCGCACCAAAGCACCAACAAGTGAATCAGCTACACGAGACAAACATTCATATTCTTCCTTCAAAATAGCGTTCTCCTGTTCAACATCCATCACTGAATTTCAAAGCTGAGTCGCGACCAGTTGGAATTATCAAACACAAAGACAACCACCAAACAAATTTCGAATTTGGAAAATATGCCAATCACAATTTCTTTGGTTATGTTTGGGAAATGGCCTAAACGTAAATTTTTACAACACCTAAAAAGACATACCGAAATTTTGAATAATTGTATACACTGTCACTATTTTCTTCACAAAAACTTTTCTTGTTAAAAACATTTAAAAAAAACAATAATTAAAATTTCAATGACTATTAGTTCAAATATTTTTCAATCATTTAATGTTTACTATATACCTATATATATATCTATATATATAACGTATAATATAACAATAATATTAGACGCATATTAAGTAAGTAAAGAGACTAACGACTAAAATTTCAGTATAAATACTGCACAAATTTTAATTGGGAGTCAATCAGGCTTAAAGTCAAAAAGGTTCGCCGGACTCAAAAATGTAGATTGGAGACAATAAGGTAGGCAGGTATATGAAAACAGGCAGCAGTAGCGCTAGAATTAAAGTCTCACTTGAGATACTACCGTTCAAATAGTCAGGAATATAGCATGAATAAAAGTTTTACTTAGGACATGATTAACGGTCATTAACAACCAAGAAAATAACTAGAGTGAAGGTCTTACCTGGTACACCAATATTTAAATAATAAGGAATATACCTTGAATAACAGTCTCATTTAAAACATCCTAAGAGCTGGGAATAAAGCCTAATATGGATTAAAAAGATTATGGATTACGGATTAATATTTCGCAGAAAACAAAACTAATAATGTAGAAGGGGGTGACCAAGAAAGCAATTGAAAGACAGTGTGCAGCAGGACGTAGAAGAAATGAACATAAGAAAGAAAAAAGCAAAAAACAGGGAAGTGTTGTAAACTGTTGTTAAACAGGCTTATGTCCTACATGGACTCTATAGTCACGGATGATGATGGTGATGATTAAAACATCCAGAAAAATGGCTAAAGTGAAGGTCTCAATTGGGACATCACTATTAAAATAGTTAGGAATTAGTTAGAAGTCTCATTTGAAAAATCAACACCATTAGTTGATCTCAGAATGAATAACAGATGGAGTAAGAATTTAATTTAATTTAAATTAAATTATTCAATGTTAAACATACACTAGAAAAATTAAAGAGTATCTACAGTGTGTCTAGGACGCGAATGTAATATTTTGAAATAATTCATTATCACAAACTGCGAGACATCCAAACAATATATTGTCACAATTCCTTAATTGGCACTGAAAACTGGCGAAAATCTCTGCCTAAATCTTATAAAGAATGTGTCGTCTTACCAATGACAATGTCTTTAGTGTACTTAACTTTATCGCCATTAACACAACATCGGCTGTCTTGACCACATTTCTAACTGGAATAGTTAATGCTGATATTGATACACAGTTTTCACGTTTTCTCTTAATAGGAATACTCTGTGCCATCTGTTTGAATATCTAATCAAAATAAACAAAGAGTTTTTAAATAATTTATGTTAATATTAAGGACGTTAAGAATCAATTTAATATAGAATTATTATGGAATAAAATATGAATAGAAATATTCATTCAACTTTCCAATTTCACCTGAGCGAATCGTGGCGTAACATGCAAAAGAAATCCTGGAGCATCTGCTTTGTAACTGCCCGACTCGCCAAAAATACTCGAGGGCTGTCAGTTTTACCGGACTGGAGCATATACCTGGATTTCGCACAACATAAGCGATGCGCACTATCGTTAAAAAAAATCAAGACTCTGATCTGGTATGGCAATGAACCTTAATGAGCTACGCGTAGCCTTTTTGGTCTGCCAGCATAACCTAACCTAACCTATTTATAAACGATCTACGGGAACTAATATATGTATATAATTAATATATTGTAAATGATGTATATGAAAAGAATAATTTCTTGTGGAATCACTATTTATTGATAATAATAAAATATTATTAATCATTTTCTCTCTGAAGAATAGAGATTGGGTATATGGGTGGTAAAATGGTTTTAAGCGTCAAACTGCTGCTAGCGTGAATAGGGACATCGGGAGTTATAGATACAATATAATAAACTGAAATAAATGGTGGCGGAGGCAGTGGCGGTGGTGGCTTTTCTTAATTAACAAATAGAATATTATTAGTTATTTAAATTAATAAGTATAATTTATTTTATTTGGAATTCTTTTACATTAATTTTTATATTGTGACATTATTAAATAGTTTTTTTTTTTTACTGAAGAAGTACACAGGTGGATCAAATTGTTTCCTTACGTTATTTACGTTACGTTACGTTACGTTTACGTTTAGCACATCAAATATATGTTATATGTATGTTTTTATAATTTTTTAATTTATTTTTTTTAATGGTTTATGTTGTTCTTGTGGACAAGAGACAATGTGTTTTAAAGAAAATGACATACATATATGTAGTATTTTACTATTTTAAATATTTTTACATACCTATATGTTTATATTTTATTACTCATTTATTCATTTACTCATTATTTAAATAAATAATTATTTCATTTCACAAATCTTAAAAATAGTTGAAAAATGTATAACAAAACGTAAATATATATGAATTATTGAAATTTCACATTTGATTCTTCAAAAAATTGTTAATATAATATAAATATATTGGTTTTAAATGTTTGTATTAAATATACGTATATATAAATATTATTCAATTTCTTTTACAACAAAAACAATTAATAAAAATTAAAGCTAATACTGTGTATAAATATTTAAACATTCAGTCACTGTTTTAAATATTAGGTTTTTAGATTTTTCAAATTTATAGTTTGTATATTTTAACTTCATTTGTGGACCAACTACCCACAGTTCTACAGAGTTTCAAACAAGACTTGGGTGTTAAGTTTACCTTAAGTTAACCTTAACCAGAACGTTCTTACACTTCCAACGACTTTCGAATATACTTTCCCTGTCATATTTATATATCAGTATAAGTCAGTATAATATAACATTACTAAAGATATTATCTTAGGAAGTCACTCTTCAGGCTAGTTTTTAAGGTTCATGTGCAAATATTGGTATTGGTTTGGTACAATTACGGACCATCATATTTTGAAATATTTTCTACAGATGCTGCTACTTAGTTCTTATGCTACTTAATTATTTCCCAACAATTTTTTTATTACTATCGCTGGTGCGAATAGCGAACTGAACTCCTATATTAGAATAGGTGCAACAAAAACCGCGTTATCGAATCTCAGAATGATTATAGACTTCCCGCGGAGGTATGCAGATCTGAGTTCAGTTGTTGCTTAGTCTGATGAAGTGATGAACAATAATCCAGTCAGGGCGTAGCGAGAGGTTAAGAAGAAACCTCGCAGTTAATAGAGAGTAATAGTGCTCAAGTGCACAGCCTCAACATAATAAAAACCATTCTAATGTTTTTAAAGACTTCAGCTAAAAGATATAGTATACTCCAAAATCGAGTTTCAAACTGCCAAAAGTAAATTTAGTGAAATCACCCAATAGCCGGTACTGCGGCCAGAAGAGTCCTATTGCACCAATTTCACTATTGATTACAAACAACCCCTTTAAAGATTTGTGAACAAAGTCCAGAACTAAATCTAGAGCAGAGTTCTTATAATCGGTTCTGGTGACAGAAATTCCATATGAAATATGTTTCTTCTGTACGTTGTTAAAGCTGGACAGTCACAAGGAATGTGCATAGTACTTTCCTCATCTTCAAGGCATAATCTGCATTCCGAATTAGCAGATTCTGCAGAATTAACAGAAAAATTCATTTTTTTTAAGCTTACAGGGAGCTTAATGAAAGGGAAATTTCAAAGATAGCGCTGAACAACTTTCCCCATTTGTATATGCCACTTTGTCTACACAATTCATAAAAAACTGAAGTCATGCCCAATATTTATTTGTTCATCACAACTTTGTAGAGGTTTTATGCAATTGACTATATAGTATTAATTGACTCATTATTTATGGTTTGGCTGACATCCACATTATTTATGGAGTTTGTTTTCTTATAGGTAAATAGGTTTTACATGCTTTTTATTTTATTTTTACATATAAGTAATATTGTTGAAACTATAAATTGCTATGTTACTACCATCATTGCTGACGGGCCACTGCGAAATAGGAAGACATGCTATGAGACTGTGTCTACCCTATAATGACTTTTGTTGAGGTTGTGTTTCTGAGGATGAGGAGGAAACATGCTCCACTTCATATGTCAGTGCCATTCTTTAGTTAGGAGAAGATCAAAAATCTTCGGAGCCCCTTTTCTCACCGACCTGGCTGAGCTGTCATCCTGTAATGTTAGAGACCTGGCCAAGTTTATAGAACTGACAGGTTAGTGTTTTCTTTATCTATTGGGGGAGTTGTTACCTTTTTCGGAGTTGGCTGTACACTGATTTAAATCTATGTACGTACAAATGGTATTTCTGTGGTAACACAATGGTCCATTATTTGAGCTCAAGTGGGCTTTTTGGAAACAAGGCCACTATTCTAACCTACCTACCTACTTTCATCATTAATAATAAAACTTATTGAAAATAGGTAATGTTGAAGATATGTATGGATGTTGAAATTATAATCTTATTTTTATTATACATATAAATTTTTTGTCTTTGGCATGTGAAATAAACTCAGAACTGTTTTCATACTCTCGAAGTCTTTAAAACTAAAGACATTGTTTACATATTATATATCACAAGGAAGTACTAGAATATTATTTGCCTTGGACTGCAATATAGCTCATAAATCAAAATTCTTTACGAGTATCGGTGATTTTATCATAAGAACAATGTTTGATGAACATTGAACATATTTGCCGGCAATTTGTTCAGAGAAACTAATACCAGAAAATTGCCTAAGTTTTCTTTAATGGGACACATAAGTATTTACACTTAAATTCCGGTTGATAATTTTTTCAACTTTACTATTTAAATCGGCTCTTTCTATTTTCCTAGTTTTTTTGTGCTGGGCCTAAAGAAACTTACATCTTATACACAATAAATCCTAAGCATTTAAGATAAATATGGCTTTCTTGAGCAGATTCCGCTTTTGACTCGAGAGAAGTGTAGATTCTTCTGCAACTTGTTAAACACAGGGATCACTCATGGTTTATCTATGTGTCGTTGTCAACTACCGATGAACTGTGGGTAAATGCTCCTCAAACTCAATGCATTCATTTATGTTTGTAATCGGAATTGTAATTTGAATTCAATTAAAGTTAAAATCAAACTTTAATTATAACATTGGTTTATTGTGTATATTCTTATTGTACATAAATGTAACATATATATATGTTTACATACACGTATGTATATTTATTGACTAAATTTATTGATAAATTTAATGTTAATGTTAATGTTTTTCATCTTTATCTTTTTGAAATATTTATCTTTTTTTTTAATATATATTTCTAACAAACAAATTTAAAGGTTTTTATATTTAATAATTTTTTTAAATATTTATTTTATTTGATATCTTTCTATGTTATAATTAATTTAAAATTTTAATGTGAAAACTCACCTTGACTTTTAATTGATAACATTTATGGTGTATTTTAATTTCCTTAATTTAAATACAGTTTTTTATATAATTTTTTCAATTAGTTTTTATAAACTGCTCCTTTCTTAGCCTTGTTACTTTTGTACCAATCACTAAATCGACACTAAATCGACACTAAATTTTTGTATATGTATATAATGTAATTATATATGTTTATGTATTAAAATAGTTAATTTTATTATATAAATAAATAAATTGATGTTTATATTCATTAATTTTGTTAAGAAGCTTAAAAGGATTACGAAAGTGCCGTGCCGTCAATAACAAAATAAAAAAAAAAAATCTAGTCTAAAGTGTGCATTTATAAGTAGTAAAGTTCTGCAAAAAAGTAAAAAGTATATATAATTCCATTTGATATGATTCTTTTCTCTAATTTGTTATCAAATCAATACTTCCATTGTCTTACAAATTCACTACTTTCTAATAGTTACTAATATTCTCCTAAAGTTTCATTTTCTCTACTCTTTATTTTTCCTTTTCCCTTTGAGTTTGAGTGAAGTTACTTATTCTTCGCGACGAAGTGAAGAAAATTGCTCAAAAATTTTATAACTTTGCAAATCATAAATAATTTAAAAAATTTTATAAACATAAACAAAAAGTTACATTTATCTGTCTATATATGAGAGAAAAAAAACCACCATACAGTGAAGAAAAATGTATATAATAAAATATATATATGTGACTACACCCTTGCTGCAGTTGTGGACGAATCTCAATTGTATGGAATACAGTACCCAGCGACTATAAGCTATAGTCCTGTGAAGTGTTCAAAAAATATACTATAAATGTAAGTGGCAGATAGTGAGATAAGATTAAAATTTTAAAAATACCATCAACAGTGAGATAGAAACTTAGTGATTACATACACTAAAACATCAATTCAAAATACTGGTTATAGATATATTGAAGAGATTTACTGTCGAATCGTTACCGACAGAACGGGCGATACATAAATGAAGTTACAAACTCATCCATAAAAGTCAAGCTCTCACTTGTCACTATTACAGCTAAAATTTACTCGCCTTTTAAATACAACTATGAAACAGTGTAACTTAACAGTTTTCCAAAAATTATAGCTTCGGCTATATGACCGAAGAATAGTGGAACTTATATATATACACACTTTTTTTATCAAAAAATCTTTTATGGCAAATTTTTGTTTTGGGGCTTAGAGTTTGAAACATGCTTCGTTCTGCTTCTTAATAGTTTCATTCAAACACTGAAAAACTAACTTTAGTGTGACTCACATATATACACATATATATAGCATATAGTACAATATAGGGACAAAAAATATCTGTGTTCTATTTATGGCGGTATATTCTTATACTCGTGTAATAATATTAAGTAAATCAAAATAATGCACATTAACATATATAAATATTTATAACCATTGATATTGCTAAGCGTAGTATTCGTCAAGCGAACATTTTATTCGCGAGCAGGAAATACACCTCATAACTGATTCGTCGTAACGAACATCGTGTTTTGTAAGACGAAGACGAAGCGAAATGTTCGCTTAGCAAATATTCAGCTTTAGTGGCTTTGGCATTAGAATTTTAAATCAATAGGAAGGACGAGGAATTCTTACTTTTCATTATTAACATATTTATGTTTTATTGCGGCAGTAGATACAATTGGGACTAAGTTGGACGAGACGTATAAGAAAATTATTGTAAACTGCAACACGATTATACAATATTGGTTTAGTCCAATAATTTTATACTCACACATCTTCGACTTACAGTCTAACAATGTGGAGTATGTTAAAGAAAATATATATATAATATTCATATAACATAGTTTTTATAGCAATCATATGTGTCTAATAATGGAACTTACAAATTAAAGTGCTTAAAAATGTATAAAGTTCGACATTTCTGTTCAATAGATGGGTGTTCTATTGATTTCTATTGATGAACAGTATTAGTACTTAAAAAAAAATTACGATTCAATATATTAGGAAAACACATAATAGTTCTTACCTAAGAACTGGTAAATTGCCTGATCTGATTTAATGAATTGATCTTCGCTTACTTTTCATATTTCATACTCATGAAGAGGTCTTATGCTAAGAATTATTTTCATCATAATCCAGTTCATAACTTAATGTTTCCCTATTATTTTCATACACGTGGTTTTGTTCAAAACTTTTAAAAATAGTACACCCATTATGTTTATTCTTTGTCCTTCCATTGATAAATTATAAATACCTTAAATACCTTTTTTCTTTTCTCAAAACCCTTAATATTAAACAACAATCGGCGTTCTAACATCGAGAGTTCGACTATCGGTTAACGTAGATGACAAAGAGCATGAAGTATTATTATTATTATTTTGACTGCTGAGTTCATCCTCATCCTCAGTGGTTGCAGTACCAATGGGACCATTTTCGAATCCAGCCGTAGTTGCATTGTTATTATTTGGTGTTGTTGGCGCCCTACGCACTTCTATGAATTCTGTTACGGTCACACGTTCATCAGCAGAACTTGTAATCGGTAATGGTGGTCTTAGAAAATATGGCGATGGTGTACGTATTGCAAACATAGATGATGTGGATGTTGGTGATGTATTACCCGCACTATATAGGGATGGTTCATCGGTTGTATTCAAACTTGTTGGTGTTATAGTTGATTCGTCGTCATGCTGCGTGTCTGGTGGCATCATTGTTAAAACTGTACTATTTGTTGATAGTGCTTCTGAAGATGTTGACATATCATTGATCTCGGCAACAATTTGTTCGATGCGTATGTGTGCTACAGAATCGCTACCATCTTGATCACTATCCGCGTTTAAATTATAATAGATATTGAGATCAATATTCGGAGCAAATATTCTTTGAAATTCTTTTAGTATGTCTTTTTCTGTAGAGAGGGATTCACTGCTCGCAGCACTTATATTAGTAATGCTACTGTCATCCGTATCCATGTCTGCTTCCTTGTCATCGACAGCGTTTTTATTATCTAAATTAAAATTGTTTGAGCAATCTTTTACACTTCGTTGGGCTCGTCAAACTTTCTCCTTAACTGGTTTAGATTTTGACGGTGTTAAATTGGTGGGAAATCTGCAAGAACAAATATGTTATCTTTGAAAATTGAAATGTTTTCAACAAAGTAAAATTAAAAGTTAATGTTATGAGTTAAGAACGTCTCATTTTTCGTAAGAACTTATTCAAATTTCAATTTCGATTTATGAAATTATTGTTTTTCTTCTTGGACCCATTTAAAATAGATGTCATAAAGTATTTTTTACGTATGGAAAAAATTGAATATCGGACAGTGATTAAATTTTTTGTGATAAAGGATAAATGGTAGGTGGTAAATATGTTCGGTGAATTTGCTTCTTCAAAAACGATGGTTTCTAAGTTATTTTTGCAGACCGGGAAGGATCTAGTAATTATAATAATGAAAGTTTTAACGTGAAATTGCCCAATAGCCGGTACTACGGCCAGAAAAGTCTTATTGTACCAATTTCACTATTGATCACACAAAGCCCTTGAAAGCTTTGTGAACAAAATCCAGAACTAAATTTATAAATCTAGAGAAGAGCTCTAAATCTGTTCTGGTGACAAAAATTTCATATGAAACAAGTTTCTTCTGTGCGTTATTAAAGCTGTACAGTCGCAAAGAATATGCATAGTAGTTTTCTCATTTTCAAGGATCTAGTAGCCACATTCACAAATAATACTAGTTCACAAATAATTTAACTTTTATTCCAAATACTTGACCTAGTGTATTTACAGTAAAAATTTCCGTAGACGCCGATGGATATTGAAAGAAAATCTTCTTTACTCAATAATGACATCTATGGGTTTGTTATTTTAACACCTAACCATGAAAATTGAAAGAAAATTTTGAAAGTTATATTGAAATTTCCACATTTTCCTAAAAGAAAAATTTAATTATACATATATTCATATTGTGTATTACTCTGAAACAATATTCAATATGACTTGTTTCTCATTCTATTTGAATGGTGTGGTGTGGTACATATGGGTTTCCGTTGTACTCTAACTTTTAAAGCAAGAAGGATTTGTTTTTTTTTATAATGGGCCAAAAATAATCGTTTAGTATATTGTATATCCTCATAAATATAAAAGAGAACGAGAATAAAAAGGATTAATGGGATAATATAGCAGAATTAACACAATTCAAATCACTTATTGGTACCTATAACAATAAGACTACCAGGATTCTATAAATCTATTAAAAAAAACTTAAAATCATCACAGGAATCCTAACAGGGCAGTGTAAACTAAAATACCACCTTACGAGACTGGGTAAACATATGGATGAAAACTGTAGATTCTGTGAAGAGAATGAGGAATCGGCCAGACATGTGCTATTCAAATGTCCTGCGCTAATTCACATACGGAATAGGCTTCTGTGAATATGTACTCTTACGGAAGAAGTAAAAAAACTCTGTAAAGTAAGTTCTATAGTACTTTTTTCTGACGCAACAGGGCTTAGAGTGGGCACAATAGACCCCACGGTCGCAGTGCCACATTACACAACTATAATAATAATATTGGTTATCTCAATACCCTTGGTATAATTTCTGTATTGTTGGAATGTTCTGGTAAAACCTATAACTTACTCATTGACTTTATAAGAGTTTCAAAGGAGAAGGATATAAAAATTCAACTTAGTGCACATGAAATGAATTTTTAAAAACATTACTTAAGCGCTTTCACTCCTGAAGACGTGAATTAAGTGTACTTTTAACAAATGAAAATCTCTCATTAATTCGTTCAAATCATTTAAATAGTTGAGATATTATTATTATTTGAAAAGGAGTAGTGTACTGCGACCTAAAAGATCTATTGTACCCCTTAGTTGGATTAGAGTGTTTCACCAAGTCCGACTTTAATAAAAGAGAGTATAGAGCCTATCTTTCCTAGTCTTGGATCCTTATGATTCATGAAATACCCTCTTATCTGTTTCTTTCGCTTGTGCATCAGTGCCGGGCACTCCCCAAGCACATGGTATACAGTTTATTTCTCTTCTCTACAGTATCTGCAGTCTGAATCGTTGAGATATAAAATATTTTGAATTTTTTAGTATTTACTTCTGAAATTTTCATTCAATTCAGTAGAAATCCGCTTTTCATTTTCACACCGCAATTTTATGGAATAGAGCCGTACATGGAGCCGGAAGGGTGGTGTGATGTGCTATTTATTGTTCGACAATTGTTTTAGTTCTAGAATTTGCATTGCAACTTACCCAACAGAATTACTGCTACTGTGTGGATCGTCACTAATGCCACATTTAGTTGTCTGTGTTTGTACAGTGGACATAGTGTTCTTGGTAAATGGCGCTTGAAATGATGTTGAGGTGATTGTAAAGTAACCACCAGGTTTTGGTTTCAGATGACGGTTATTCATTTGCATGTGGACAGTCTTCATGAACTCAATTTGATGCGCCAGCTTTTGCACTTGTTCCTTGGAAAAAATTAATTTCATTAAAATATTCTTTTTAATGATTAATCAAGTAAATCTTACCTTAAGTTCCTCGTTCTCCTGATATAAATCAGGTGAGTCTTCTGGAACTAAGCCAACACCATTCAATGAAAATGAAGCAGTTATGCTGCGTACTTTGGCTTTTTGATCCCATTTGTCACCTTGTCCTTTAAGTACTCGTGATATTTTAGGACCAAACACCAGCGTGATTGTAGTTGTTGTGGAAAATTGAGTCCGTATAAATCCGAGAAGGTACTTTATATCTGGACCAGCTTGCGGAAATATGAAAAGGCTGAAATATGAGGCAAGAGATAGATGAGTATATCAGTATGAAGCATTTTGAATAAATGAATTTCATTCATTTTTCATTCGAATTTGTTTTGCAACTATGTTTAATTTGCACCCTACAGAGAATTGGCTGTTTCCAAATTTTAGTCCACTATAAGAAATTTGCAATGGAGTTATACGTATTTCTATATCTCTAACAAACAATTCTAATTTTTCGCTTAAATGGAAATGTGGCATTTGTAAGAATAAAAGAACTGTACGTAAATCATTGCAGAAAATCAGCGCTCTATAGTATTACATATATAAAATTCTTTATGCTTTATCTTCCTAATCATATTTTAAACTTCTATTTACACTCAATTGTTTTAATGTTGTACAAATAAAATAATTTTTGAACAAAATATTTTGAAAATACAACGGCAAGTTATGAATGCAATGGCATCAAATATCGTCTACAAGGAAACTGCAGTTTTGGATACAGTAAACCTTTAAAGAAGCTCAGTGCCAAGCATTTTATTGCTCGGTTCATGTTGAGAGATATGTAATTTGGGCTGGCATATTAGCGTGGGTGTTAGAGATCAAGACCACATTATCGGCATATTCCAAATCGAATAATCTACTTCTTATTCCCCAGTTAATTCCAAGTCGTTCTGTGTCCAGGGTCTCTATCACTGCGTCCAGTGCCGTTCTGAAAAGACATGCCGAATGCACACAACCCTACCTTACACCATTGGTTGGTTGGTTGCTTTTTAATATTGACGATTTTAAATGGGATATCACTAGCTTCAAGCACCTTCCACACGTATTTGAATTTTAGATCATCGAATGCTTTTTCATATTCGATGAGGGTGAAATATAGACTGGTGTTAAATTCTGCCGACTACTCAATAAGTATTCTTGTAGTGTTTATGTGATATATGCATTACAGACCAGCACGAAATCCCGCTTGATTCTGCCAGGGTAAATTATTAAGTAACTCAATAATTGGTAGCAAAGAGATATATGTCCAATTAGAGCATTTTTTCCAGTCTCCGTTTTTAGGGATCTCGACTATGATAACCTCTTTCCATTCCAAGCTATATAACGACTTATTTTGAACATCCCTTTAAGATTTCCCTTCTCTGATGCAACGTGGGCGTGTTGCCTCCCATTTTATCTGCTTCGCGAGCCGCTTGTACTCAATTTGTATCTTCACTTCACGAAATCCCCTTATTGAACTTAATAATTTTGTTTTAACATCTATTCTGAATTCGATAAGATTCCAAAGTTCTTGAGACCACTATTCCTTTCTTTCCTTCTACACACGAGTCATTTATAGTTTTTTTCAAGAATCACACCCATTGCGTAAGGTCGCCATTGCCTTATATGTTTAAAACAGGGATCACCACGAGAAGGTTGGGGTTGACAATTGTGTAGAGAGGCTTTTTGAGACACATGCATAGAAATTGATCTATTGATTTAGTCATTAAACTTTATAATAAGTTTTGCTACAAAACGAGTTAAATATTTATACAGTTTTTGATAAGAAGAAATTCTCAAGAACTATCTCCACTTTAGTCTATTTGAAACTAAATGTAAGCATGTAGGAATACACGTATTACAGAAAATATGTTGGAAGTCTGCATAAAGTAATTATTGTATTTCTTTGAAACCATTATTTCAAGGTTCACGGTGACTGTGCGAAGAGTATCGTCTTTTACATTTAATGTCCTTAACCACTTAACGGACGTAACTGTTTTGTTATCTACAAGTTAATCCTCTTTCCTTGTTTTGCTATTTGTAAATGCAAATTTGTAGCACAATAAGTTACGTTAATTGTCCTTTTAAAAGGATTTTAATTAATAACAACTTGATGGGATTTTTAATTCAATCGTTGTGAGCAGAATAAATGAATGAATGAATAAACTAAAGACTGGTGTGTGTATGTGACTTCTGCACAAAGGCATGGGCTCTACGTGCTGTGAAGGGTGAACGAAGTTTGATACACCATGAGCCCGTATGCTCGGCGCAAACATTGGAGCATAGCTCCAATGTGCACAAACATTGAATTTATTGGAACGGCAGCAGGAGAATAGGCAATTACTCATAGCATTTGTTTCTTGTGCCAGAACTGCGTACACCAGCGCTTTGAAAGCAGCTTACCAACATTTGATAGAACACAAAATGAGTGCAGGAAAATGGGAAAAGTTGGAAAAGGAATTTGGTGAGGATTCTTCCTCGAACTGATGGCACAAGACTAACAGGAAAATATAAATTATAACAGCTAGTGCTGACAGAAAATTGTGTGAGTAACGACTATGAATGCTTTGAAAGGACCTGCGGTAACTGTGAATTAATATACTTTATTTCTCCTTTATCAACTTATCTATTACTATTGAATTACACTGCAATATTTTCTTTTATCTTGTCAATTCAAGATTTTACTTATTCTATATACTATATACTAAATCGAAGTGCTTTCAGATAATAAACACTGTTGATAAATAATTGGTGCTTGAGTTTTATAATTTGGTTTATTTTAATGAACTAGTTCAATTTAGTTTTTCAATGTAAACATATAAAATATAAAGGTAAACAAAGCATTTTCAATTTATTTTATGCAGTTCCAAATTTATATTGCAGTATGCTTTTTAAATATTGAAAAAATTCAAATAAATATTCGTAAGGATATTGTATATAGTAAATATCACTCTAGTTAAAAATATTTCCTGTACATATTTAAACAAATGTCTCACTATTCTTAATGAACATCCTAGTTCCTAGTCATTCAAGCAAAATTTTTGAAGAATAAGGGTGTTTGCGCACGCTGTAAGTATGTTAGTGAAACCACGCAAAAATATACAATATGTTGGCGTGAAGCTGAATGATGTGCTCACCAAAATTTTTGGTGAGCACGTCAATACGTTGGATGCATGTCATTCAAAGATACACACTATCAGTTTTGAGTGTCATTTGTGGATTTTCTCTCTTGAATGACACTCAAAAATATTAGTCTGCACCGTAGTTTAGGAAGCTCTTTAACAACAGAGCTAATTTAGAACTTTTTAGGTGTTCGTTCTTCTAAAGCTGATTCAGAACTCTTTCAGCGATCGACAAAAGGTGCTTAGTAGTTTAATCACAGCCCTTTTAAAGTTCGTCACAATATATCAGGAGTTTGGTAAAGGCTATTTTAGTTATTTCATCTCATTTCATCTTTTGTTCAAATGTCTTAAAATTGTGATACACAATTATTATTTTATTAATACTTTATTGACGTTATATCTGAAACTATATTATCAAAAATCGTATATGAATATGGTCAAAGTAAATTTAATTATTAAGATTATTGACAAAATGTCTTCCGTATTTACTTTCCATACTAAGTTAACCACATTTACATCACTAATATCGTCCCGAAGGTATTACGTAGATTGTTTGTAAACTGCTTTAAATTTCGTCTACTAATAAATTTAATTTTTCGCTTCATAAATTGATGAATGCAAGTGTACCAGATATCAAGACACTTTGTTAAATAGGGGTGTGAAGCTATTCAAATGTGAGTGTGTGCGCTTTGAAAGCAAGGGAGGGAGCATAAGTTTGTGTGATAATAATTTAGAATTGAATGAAAAGTATTGAAATATATCAACAGATAGGTTGATTGTTCGAGACCTACTCGAAGCCCAGAAGGGAGCACAATAGACCCGAAGGTCGCAGTGCCGCATCACCTAACAATAATATATAATCAACATATGAATCAAAATAATTCTACCTGTGCAAAAGTTATGCAGACAATTTATTGATTGAATCTAACCAAGATCGCTTGACGATTTAATATATAGATAGCGCATACTTTCAATAGATAAATTAAGAGCAAATACTGTAAATCATTCCAATTAAAGTTTAACAGAAGGATTATAAACTTAAATGCATTTCGACAACTACTATACAATATACAGAAATTATAGCTGCTTACAAAATTCCATACTTAATTTTTCATAATTATATATTTGTCTATAAACTTATTAAGGTTTCTATCAAATTTGTATCAGAATATTAGAAAATTTATTTTTGTAAGTGAAAGAATAAATTTGATCACTTGCTTCCAAAATAAAATAGAAAAGATAATATTGTATATTATCTCGTTTCCAGTGAAGCAAATAGCTTCTTACCGATCTTCCTAAATGGACAGAAGACAATTAGTTCTTCGAATGAAAGCCACAATGTTAGGTATTGAGGGCATTCTGGACATATTGGGGGTCAATATCTTTCTCCTGGTCCATATCAAAGCCGGATAGTCACAGAGAATTTGACTAAAGGTCTTATTCGCTTCCAAGCAAAGTCAACATTCGCAAACAGAATGTCAGACGTATGCTTTAAAAACACTATATAAGCTAACAATAAAACTATTTGTGACGTGTATTTTAAAAATATATTACATCTGAAAAGTATATGTATTATACTTACTGGAATGCGATCATTATAATATTTACAATGGCGATATTATAAATGGCATACGATATCAAACGTGCTTCATTATAGAGTGATTCTGCATTTCGTACATTATAACAGACACGAATGCCCCAGGCTAAGAAGAACACTTCACCAATAGCCAAACTATGATCCCACCAATTATATGAGCACTGCTTGAATTTCAGGCCATCTTGATCGTGAATCTATTTGGAAAAATGAATGAAACAGATATCATATATAAGATATATCATATAACATAAATTTTTATCTTTCTTTATACAACATATAATATTCATAAGACTCGTATAGAAGTATGATTAACTTATCATACTTCTATACATATATATTATATTCACGTTTAATGCTTTATAAAATCGGTGGAGTTTATTTGTTTAAAATATGTGAAACAATTTTTTGGAAATGAGTCGCAATTTAATATTTTAGTTATGTGCGAGTTGAACTAAATTGGGAATAAATACTTAATCGTATTAGTAGGTCAGCAAAAAGTCGAATTTAATTTTTTAAAACATACTAACATATAAATAAAACTTATTAGTTAGTGTAGTCTAAAGTGTTTAGTTTAAAGATTCAGCATTTTTTTGTTTTAATTTTTATTTGTAATAAAAGGTTGGACCAGTAAGTCCAGTTAAAATGAAGTAATAGGAGTAATTCTATAAAATAAAAATGTATAAAAATGTGTCCCTATATTTGTATTGTTACAAAATAACTTACAAATTCGGCATAGGGCGTATCAGATATAGTCCACGTGCCCAAATATATAAGCATCACCAATAAAATCGGAACCATCCATTGCAAAAGTTGTTTATCAGTTAATTTGACTTTATGTGCTGATTTTACACGATACGTCAGAGAAACACTGTAAATAAATGAAATGAAATGATTAGATGAAACTAATGAGATTCTTTCTGTTCTTTCCTAACAATATGTAGGAAAAGTAGAAGATATTCTGATATATTGATATCTGATATATTGATACAAGACAACACGATACTGTACTGTTCATCACTATACTGACTGTAAAAAAAAAGTCTATCAAAAAAGTATTCTAAACGAAATATATCCCAAAGGATTTATTTAAATAGATAAAGTCTTGTTGAAATAAATATCCATTAATTTAATTTAATTAAATTTAATGAGGTTTTTCGAACAGTAGTGAACTACAACAACAAAAATTTTATTTTTTATATTATTTTAATTAATTGAATTTTTTTCTTTTCCTGGCCATACTGTTCTCTATCGCTACTTTTGAAAGTATGAGCACAGAATTTAAGATTTTGTCCTCTACTCATTTTTATAATTACTATTTCATTTTCTTTCCCATAATAAAGATAAAAGGAAGCTACTGATTCAACTTTGGATTACTTGATTTTAGATCAGCAATGATATTAACTTCAATATTCGGGATAGGTGGGCTCAAAATCATTCAAATGTAGTTCTATTCCCAATACCTACTCATCAGTAGAAAAAGCTGCTGCAAAATGCTTTGGTTCAGCTCCATGTCGAATTCAATGATGTAACAGAACAATGATCTAAACAGCTGTAATACCAGTTGAACTGCAAGCACTATATAACGTCATCACAGATCAATGGCATTGAATCTAGTCGGTGAGCAATAAATTTATCTTAGTGAACAGAAAAATATTTGACCCCACCCAATTACAAGCGTTCGAGTCTCAGCCTTAAAAATGTAACAGCTGGGTCAACAATTTTCACAGAAGGATGAATATGTATATTTTCTTAAAATATTTCGTCACACCAAAGTTCATCGTTAGAATACGAAATATCACCATTACTGATACAGTATCTTTTCTAGGTCTTTCTTGACACTACGGTAATAGCTAAATTTTTAAATTTTTATAGCTTTCATAATTGTATTTCTAAGTGTTGTATACTCATATATTAAAGTAAAAATAAAAAATAAAGACCAACTTACCGCCATGTTTTCATTAGCAAGGAAGTGTATGTGATGCAGAAGCCCATATGACGTGTCCATTTTGTTACAATACACCAACTCGTATCCAAGTAGGGGAATATTGCAATCATCTAAAAATATATTTTTTTAAATAAAGAAAAGAATAGTATTAAAATTTAACAATTAAAAATAAAAATATACAGCTGGTTTATGATTTCGTTGTAATATAAACACAGCAAGTGAAATTGTTAATAAAAACTTTCATAGCAAAAGTAACAAAACTCAAGAGAAGTTAAGAATTATTATTCTTTTGGTTTATTATTTTTTATGGACATCATTTTTTTTTTAATTTTGGTACTTCACTTCTCATTAATTCATAAATCAAGAGGCACTCGATTTGTTATATATATGATCATAGCAAAAAAATGTTTAGTGTAGTTAAGGAAATAAGGATATGCATTTTTCTGCTCTGCTCGGAGAATTCAATCTAATTTTTAATGTTTGTGTTCATGAACACAACCACAAACAGTACACTAAAAATGAAAGCGACATGTCCGAAATAGCGTACACTTAAATAATGTTCGTTGAAATAGTGTACACCAAAATAGTGTACACCGAAATAGAGTACACTGAAATAATGTATACTGAAATACTGTACACTGGAATAGTGTACACTAAAATAGTGTACACGGAAATAGTGTACACCGAAATAGAGTACACTGAAAGATCGTACACTGAAAGAGTGTACACTAGAATAGTGTACACTGGAATAGTGTGCACTGGAATAGTGTGCACAGGAATAGTGTACACTGAAATAGTGTACACTGAAATAGTGTATACTGAAATAGTGTACACAGAAATTATGTACACGGAAATTGTGTACACCGAAATAGTGTACACTAAAATAGTGTACACTGGAATAGTGTACACTGAAATAATATATATATCTCATATAAAATATTGTATGTTCGCGTTGTGTGTTTTTTTTGAAGGTAATGATCGTAATGAATGTTCTTTTTACGAAGGTTGCCAACTTTTCAGCTATAATATCCTGAAGGTAATGTATTTTTAGTGTCTATCGAACAAAACGATTAAGAAATGTTTTCGGTGCAATAGCCCATTGAAAAAACTGTGAATAAAGTGCAAATAAGTAAATGACACATTACTTGAGCGGCAGTGTATAACACATTAATTAATTAATTATATATTATAGTAATTTGGTGTTAATTGAACATTTTTGCAAGGGCGCCACATTTAATAAAATTTTTCCTCTTCTTACATATAAGCATGTGTAAGTAAAAACTATGTGCAAAGTATGTACGAAATACACATTTCACATTATTTTCTTTAATTTTATTTGCAGTAACAGAAGCGACACATCTGTGAACTCACCGTTGCGTATGAGTATCTTTAGACACAATTTTTGCAAGTGAAAGTGTTGCTCTCAACAAAAAACCCTTCTTGTTATAAAATATTTTTATTACAGGTTACAACGGTCTTACAAGCAAGTGACATGTTACGCGTAACACATCGAAGGGCACAAACATACTTTGGATCTCCAACCATACGCAGATATTCGAACGGAGTTTGAAATTGTTGGCACTACCCGTACATTTTAAAACATAAAACATAAAACATAAAAAATAAAAGATAATAAAATTTGTAAAATCATTGTAGGGATGAGGGAGGGTAACACATTTCTATACAATATTAAAGAATTGGCATGCATGCATATTAGGAGACATTATGAAACAAAATAAGGCTTGAGGATGTTATTGCAATGGGAACGGCAAGTAAAATTACGTGTTCTGCGAAGTATTACAGACGAAGGAGTTTCATGGTACTAACTTTATTAACTTTATTATTTTACGAATTACGGATTACTGTCGTTTTATTAAAAGAGTCAATCATACTCATGTACATGTATTCTGAAGAAAAGTCTTCACAATACATGTACTGGAGGGAAATACATATATGTTATTCACAAGATGGGTTGCAAAGTAATCAGGACATGATAGTTTTTAAAAACAGATACTTTCAATTATGATATACTTTAGCAATTATATATGTCAACAAGGTAGATTCTCTACTGAAATGCTGTCAAAGTTCCATAGCAAATGAATAAATAAGACTGGCTGTATTGATACTACAGGTTTTCGTTTTCCACTAATGGTTTCTTTTCGCTTAATATTGTCTATATATACTAACGGAACATACTCGTACATTATATTATATATATATATTTGATATTCTTATACAGTCGTCCATCCCAAAAGGGCAAGCTTTCATTATTGGATTGTTAACTATGTATTCATACTGCAAAGCCAATAATTTCTTTTTCTATTGGATGCAAGATATTATCTATCTTTAACATTTATTATGATCTATCTTTGCAATATAAGTTAAAAGAGTAGATCCAATTAACTCCACGTTTGTTCTTGATCTTCTAAGGCTGTCTGAAAATTCGTTGCTGAACGATCCACATTATAAAATAGTCAATTTTGGACCAAATATATGTTGCCGTGCATGATAGTTCCACTTGGCACTGTTTACAGAAATAGTGCTGTGAAGTTACCACTACGAAATGGATAACACTTTATGATGATGTTTTACGTTTTTTTAATTATTATTAAAGATATTATTTAAGGATATTTAACTAAAAACTTAAAAAACATTTCAAAATCTAAGTATTATCTTCTGTTAGGTTACGTTATACCGGCGATCTATAGTGGATTCAATTAGGCCTATTGGCCCATTTTATTACCATATATATAGGAAAAACTCATGGTTTAAAACCACCTACAACCTTTGGCGAAGCATAAAATGCTATTTAGTGTCAGGTCCTTTAATTGGTCCAGGTCCTTAAAAAAGAAGGCTCCTAGAGTATTAAGTCGCCACCGTGCATGAAGTAGACAAAAAATAGTAGATGTTTCCTCGCAGCTGCTACAGATTTGATTGAAAGGGAGACCTAATCTTCTAGCATGGTTCCCTAGTTTATAGTGACCTGTAAGTAAACCTACCAAAAGACCGATATCTCTACGAGGTATCGCATTGAGAATTTTGAATTTCCTCTTCTGTTAGTAATATGAAAATAAGATGACTTAAGAGGTTCTAAAGCACAAATCCCGTTCTCATTACCAACTTTAATTCTTAGTTTATTTCACAAATTTAAGAATGGTATAAGGATTGAATCTTTAAACTTCTTAAATTTCTAAAATTTAACATCAGTACGAGACACTCCTCGAAGTAATGCGAAATCGATTCGGAGGGGGAATAAGTCCCGCCAAAGAGGAGGTGTTTTATTCCGTATACAATATATTAATGTTAGAGAGTCGGACACACCATTCCGACTACGGCCAGTTTGACGGTGCATAAAGCATTCCACCTCCCCATCACAGTAAGTAATTTTTATATAGAACTTTTGTGTCTACTGTTTTCTTAAGCAGTTAATACTTTGATATTTACCTATATATAAATATGTATACATTAAACAGTTTGAATGCAAACAATAAGTTTCTTTAAACAATCTACAGTAAAGCTCGTATTATAAAAATATTTAAAATTTTAGCTCCGATTTTTAAACTTGACCTTTTATTAAAATTTTGAATTTTGTCACTCGTGTAGAAATAGCGACAAATATTATTAGTCGTATGTCTATATATGGTGTATACATATAGATGGTGCTTAAAGGGTGTTGCTGTTACTTCTTGTTCACCGGAATACGAATGAATATTCACGTATGTGAGCAGTGTGGGTTCGGTGATGTTTCTTACTGCTTAAAAGCTATACTGAGCTTGCGGTTTTTTGGAATTATTATGCCCTGTTGGAAACGCTTTCAAGTGTCAATGGCGCTGTAGCATTAACCTGTCGTCTATGATTCGGTGCTTTGGCTTTTGCTTGTGCAGTGAGCAGGCACTGCGGTGAGAGTGAATCCGTAACCACAAGTCAAACACAGGACTCTGTGATTTTGTTGTTTATGGATGGATGTTGGCGCTCTAGGATTTTGTTGATGTCTTTGTGTCTAAGACATTTGTACCCTCATTTGCATATAGAAATAGGTCTTAATAATTAATTTTAATAGATAAAAATTTTAATGTAAGTGGAAATTTGTTGAAACTGTAATAATGTAATAAAGTAAAATTAGAGAATGTGAAATGCGAACATTCATTCGCAGTTCAAGTTTTTTGAATTGTTTAATCTTCGTGCAGAACAACTTAACCTTCTAGTGTATTCCATTATATAAAAATAGAACTTTGTATACTCCACCAAAAAGTTTTTTTTATTAAATACGTAATTCTACAATAATTTGGTAAAGGTGGCAGAAGTTGAGTTGAGTATGTTAATTATGAGCATTAAAAATGAAATGACATATAATCAATATTATGTTTTAATTATTATTATTTTTGCATTTATTTGAACTCACCTCACAATACATAATTGCACACCCAATTAGTGTAATCAGCAAAAATATTGGACTGGCCACCTTAAACACTTTAACTTTGCGATGCCGAAATAAGTAACCAGCTAATATGAACGTACCGATAGCACAACCGATCGAAATTGTTAGTAAGGATATTCTACGAAAAAGACAAGCAAAGTTTCAAAATCAAAATGAAAATAAATTTAAAATTCATGAATCTTACATTGTGAAATAACTAAATGATGGAATTTTATTGCAGTTTGTAGGAAAAGTTCAATTTACTTAACATGTATAGTTTTCTATATGAGATTTTATGTGAGCAATATATGATGAACTTAAACAATTTCATAAATTTGTAGACAGTAGCTACCTGGATACATACAAAAAACAAAAATAAGACAGACTGACATGACAGACCGACATTCCGATGTACATTCTCTTCACGTCCATGCTTTCTAGCATAGTTCACTAGGTATTAAGCCTATCTGTTCTCATCTCTCTCCCCTGATTACTGGAATGAAGTTTCCACATTGCTGTGGAAATCTTCTCTATACATTCTTAAGAGGTGCTTTTAGTGGGTTCAAGTCTCACACTGTGGCTTTCGATGCTTTCCATCTACTGTACAGAAAAAAAAACATTCCGATGTCACTTTATTGCTAACTATATAACTATAATAACTCTATAACTCTAATGCAGAGTTATGCTGGATCTCGAACTGGATATACTACATGAATACCTCGACAAGTGTATATTGACCGATATCAATGCATCAGATATTTTTATGTCTTATATTAAACTAAACCTTCAAAATACTGAGTACATGAGACCGATTTCTACTAGATCAAAGAGTATATTGAAGCAATTTAAATTTATGCCAATAAAATCCAAAATGAAATATAACAAAATGAAGGAAGTTGTTCTAGCTCAGTAGTTCTTCATTATTGTCATTGAACTTAGTTATACCTAAAATATATATATTGAACAATATAATTTGTGTGTGTACTTATGTTTTTTGTGTGATATGTTAATGCGTCATAGATATATACACTTAAGTTTCAACTTTAAAACCAAAGTCACAAAAATGAAAAACAAAGATTCGGTTGCTCACCTAAACGGCCAGTTGTAATCAGCTAAACATGGTTCAGGTCCTGTGCAAAAATCGCAACCGGGTGCACATTTGTAGCACGTGAAAACTTTTGCATAATAATCGCTCACATTGTCCTGATGCTCCTTCCATGCGATTTCCATGATGGTGCCATTGAAACCATCTGAATGGCGTTCAGAGTAGTAACCACGCTTGCATAAGCATTGATAGGCACCACGTGACCAAGCGTTCGGCATTGTTAGTATTTTATTTGTGGTTATTGTGGGTGCCTCTGATGTGGGTTGACGATAATCGCACTGTAAATGAAGCAGAATAATTTTTGTAAGTCTCGGTTATGAAGAGTGTACTAAGGACGAGTGTACTAAGTTTATGTGTCTAGTAACTTTATAATAATATGCGGGCGGGTTATGCGACTGCCAGACAAAATATTTCAGAAAAGCTTTTAAGATAAAAATTTAATGCTTAAATATTTTTGTTTTTTCTTTTTTTTGTTTTGTAATTTGTGTTTTCAAACCCTCGCGTATGTCTACTTACCATCATGGTCTCTCGATGACATTTATGTGAGCCATGAAATGCCTGTAAGTCGTTAATGGCTTCGCTCACTTGTGCGTCGGCTAAATGTAGGCGGCGTGTTTGAATTTGCTGATAATTGAAACGGTAAGTTAGCGCCTCGCACTGATTGACCCTCAGACCAGTTACATCGATATCGATGCTTATGAAGCCACGTAAACCATGCCGACCGCTCGGTGGTATTGCTATGCTGTACGATAATATCCATTTGCTGAGCGTGCATGAGAAGTATGGATACGTCCACCAGCCTTTGTAGTAAATATTCGGTGGGCTAGGTGTGAATTTAGGTGAGCGTAATGAGGGCGAAGTGGTTTCATCATCGAACCTGTGAAATTCGTATGCATTGTTATTTATTTCCAATAAAATTTAATTTTAGTATAGGTTAATGAGCAGTTTGTTTTTGAATTTGTAGTATTTGTGGTACAGCTTTTAGTTTCAACAGCATTTTAGATTTCTTTTTTTAGTAATCTGTGTGGGCTATAAATAAATATTATGCAGTTTCTGTACTTAAGTTGTACAGAACATTGCATATAAAAACAGCTTTTTAACACCTATCAAAATATGTTGTTCTAATAGTGAGGCTATTTAGGAACAGTGTATTGTTACGAATCTGTTTTTTAAAAGAAAATGATTTACACATAATGTAACTATGCAACACTATTTTATCTACTCCTTATCTATGAAATTATTGTCTTTAAATACAATAATACGAAATCTCCATTTAAATATCAATATCTTATGTACAAAAGATTCTTACTCTAAAGAATACCAACATAATTGGTGGACTAATTATAATAATGAAGTAATCATATATATATATATATTTATGGTTTGTTATATTTTTTTAATCTGGCTGTAGGTCCCTTCTTGTTAAATAATTAAACGTTTAATATTTTTTATTATACTCTATATTTCGACTCTCCTTGAGAGTCATCATCAGGATTATGATCTACAAAGATAATTATAACAATTTTCAATATTCTAATTATTAATTTTCATGATTAATTATGACCACATAACAAGTTAATAAGTACTACTTAATAATTAATAATTGAATTAATAATTGAATAATTGAATTGGATAATCAAGAATTGAATTGTGTATGAAAACCAATCAATTTTTTTCTCTTAGCTGGTTTAAGTTAGAGTTGTATTAGTTATAGTTGTTTTTTGTTTGTTTTATCCATTGTTTAAATACTTTATAAACTAGAACTAGAAAAGAAAAATTTCAGCTTTTTTCATAGCAAATGTATATACCAATAGCTCAGCTGCTGTATCAATGTCTACTATTTTTTTTGTTTTCAGGGTTGATAACATTTTTTATATTTCTACACACTTACCACGGGTAGCTCTGTGCAGGCTTTTTCCCTATTTGTAATCCTTCTTCTTCAAAGCGTTGCGCTTTCCCTGTCTTCTCGTGATTACTTTTTATCCACCAAACGTATGACTGTACTGCTCCATTTGTTAGATTTAGTGCCAAGATACGTGCGCTCGTTATGTAGTCATCGCTTAGTAATCCTTTGGCAAGTGCATCCGAAAGTCCTGTAAAATAATTATTTTTTATTATATATAATGCTATATAATGAGAAAGTTCAGGAAATAACCATGATAAGATTTTTGTAGGGTTGCTAAAAAGTTTTGTTATCTTAAAGATATATATGTGACTTCTAAGTAGTGTAGTTAAGTAGTTCTAAGTAGTTAGTAAGTAGTGAGGTGCAGGGTTGCATTATTGTTCTTATTTGAAGTTTTTGATTCTACCAATATTGAATTCGTCACATTTTTTGGAGTTCTAATTGCTTGTAATGACTTATAGCTCATATACATCCTATACCTCATATTCATGGATTAATATCTTATGACCACTTTTCAATATTGTGCACAGTTCTTCTATTAAACTACGAAAATATTTATACGAAATATGTTCTAATAGACAATGCTGCGACAACATGGCATAACAGAAATATATTGTATTGATTGATATATTGTTTTGTACTCGTCGACTTTAACCCATAAAAGGATTGAGGGCCTGTAAAAGTAGTTTTTGATGCAGTTCTGGCTAGCTCATCAACTTGTTCATTTCCCTCATCAACTCCTCTGTGGCCCAGAACACAGTAATGACTTACCTTATTCCGAGTTATAGCACTCAAAGACCTGTCTTGACTTGAAAGTCTGAAAGTCCAAGAAGACAACCTTTTTGTCAAGAGCAGTTTGACTGTCAAAGTAAATAACAATTCTCGAGCCACACAGTTTTTTGCTGATATTGGATCTTACGTATAAGTTGATTCCGTAAATTTCAGCTTGGAAGACACTCGGCCATGTGCCCATTGCCTCCGAAATTTTGGTGTTGGGTTCATATACACCAGCACTAGTGCCGCCATTTACTTTTGATCCATTCATGTACCTAACCAAACTTTTTGGGTCAACCTGTGGGCCTCCGTTTTTCCATATTAAACATGCACATACTCTCGGTATAACAATTCAAGATGGAATTGTATTTTATTAGAACCACTTTAAAACTATTCTAGAAATATAGTTGCAGATGAGAACATTGTAATGCTTGAAGTGCTTGTAATATTTGTTTTCTACTTATTCTAAAAAAGTAACTCAATGTGCAGTTTCTCCTTGACAACACTTTTATTAATTTCTCGTAATAAAGGTTCCTAATAAGTATAGGAAATCGGAGAGAATATTGTTAAAAGAAATTTAATTAACTAACTTTAGACTTCTATAAATAATGAACTACTTAAAAGTCATCAAAGAAAAAAGATTTCATCGAAAACTTTGTTATCGTAGGTAAATAAAGTAGCAATGAGGTTCAGTTTGGATTGCTCTTCAGTTACTGTAGTTATACTAATTGGAATAAAATAAGTTCACCGTTAAAGTAGTGTTTATCTTAACTTTCGTTTTTTCATTAATCTGGAAGGCAAAAGCTTTGGCCTCATTTGTGATTTGGAATTGTTTTGATTTGTTTTCTTAAGCTCTAATAAAATCTAGATTATTATTAGACTACTAATGCGGGAATAGATCTGAAGGCTTAATGCTTTTAAGTCTTTCAGCTGGCCAGATGTATTAGACAGATGGTGAGTTTTTAGCGGCTAACCACAAACTTTTGTATTACTGCATCCACAGTAATAATGTATTACTGCATCTCGACGGAGGTCAGTATTCCTAATGAACCACGGAGCATTGACGAAATTTCTTACAACTTTGTTTTGGAAGTTTTGGATGATTTAAATAGACGATTTTCGTGCACATCTTCATAACTGGATTCCACACGTCCACACCGGAGCTAAGACTTGCTAATTTGTTGCTTAGAAAGACGGGTAATTTTTTCCTAAGAAGCCAATTTAATTTAATGTAAATTAAGGGTTTAACGTCAAACTAAAAAGATGCATAAAACATAAAGAATTTGCGCTGCATTTAATAACACGATATGTGACGTAATATCCGTTTCGCGGTGCTAATTTGACAACACTGCTTCAGCAAACAATGTCAAATAAAAATGTTGTCGAATGCATCATATGTTTGGTCTGAAATTTGTCTTCTTATAAGAATGAGAAAATAAGAACCACTTAATAATCGCTGAATAAGCTGCAATTGTGGACTCATACTATAAAAAGGGTGATGATTTTTCACCTCAGATTTTCTTTAGCGATGAGACTCACTATGGATGTGAAAGATTTGTGGATTTCACTGAATAGTGCTATATACTACACTTAACATGTTCTGTTTTGGATTTGTTGCGCAAGAAGCTTTCTTTTTGGCCAAGTTGTTTTGAGTATAGATTTTCAAATATCCTTCATCACTGGTCTTGGAATTACCATATTTCATAGATTTAATTATCCGTAAAGAATTTTTTGAGACTGCAAGTACCAAGGATTAAACTCATACCCTGCCAAATTTCAACCTTTAATGTATGCATTATTATTGTTCTCTTATTAAGTTATTTCATTCTATCTGGAAAGCATTTATTATAGGCGCTTTGTACTTTAATCGACATCATTGTATGCAGCTCCTCAGAATTCTTCAGTATCAATCTTAGTGTATACTTTTTATGAAAGTAAAGAGCTCTGCCCTAATTTTAACTTAAAATTTATTTATGTCAAATAAATGGATATATTGAAATGAATATGAATATTTTTATATAACATAAAGTGCTTATATATGTACTGCAGTAACACCATTTGCTATTTTTATTTTTAAGAATTTTTTGATTACTTTTCTACGCTGCGTGACAAAGTCCTTTTTTGGTTTCCTTTTGACTTTCTTGAATAAATTTGTTTTGATGTTCGATTATGTATGCTACCAGAATTTAGCAACAAATTTATTTTTATTTAAAATAAATTTTTAACTTAGTTACAAGCTACAATTCAAGCCAGTTGTAGTAGACATTTATAAGCAGTCATTTATTATTATTATTAAAAAAGAAGGGATAGTGCACTGCGATCTAAAAGATCTATTGTGCCCCTTAGTCGGATTAGAGTGTTTCTAAAAATTCGATTTCTTTAATGAAAGACAGTACAGAGTCTATATTTTCTAGTCTTGAATCCTTATGATCCATGTAAAATCCTCCTAGATGTTTCTTTCGCTTGCGCATTAGTGCCGGGCACTCTCCAAGCACTTAGTATGCAGTTTCTCTTTCTTCTCTACAGTATCTGCAGTCTGAGTTGGATTGAATTCCTAACTTCGATAGGTGTTTATTCAATCTACAGTGACCGGTCAATAATACCACAATCTTTGAAGCGTTTTATGTTGTAAGTCCCTAAAAGCATTTTAGAGCAATTTTCCTTTCCTTTCTAAGCAATTATTTACTATGAAAAAATATGCAATGAACTATTTAAAAGTAATTCAAAATTTATTTACAAATAAGTGTGTAAACAGAGCTTTTCCTATATGTATACTAAATGTCATTCTTAGTTTCGTTTTATCGTTTTGTTATAGCAAAATTATTTTTTAATACAAGAATTGCAACTTCAAAATACAAATACTTTCTTTCGTATTTTGATGGCAGAAGTTAATTAGGGTATATTTTCGGGGTATATTTTGAAGTTCATTTTGTGTTTTAAATGATGATAAATAAATTTTTTTTAATAGGAATAAATGAGTTAAAAGAAAATATTTACTAGAAATACATATAGTCCGTAAGAAAAATATCAGGGAATGTTTTTACCTACATATTTTTAATCTAGAAGTACTATATAAGATGTCCGGATCAAGCTCAGCAGAAGTATTATAGCATTTATTTTTTATTAAGAATACTACTTAAGAGCCGGTAGTGTGAGTTGGATATGTTCTGAGAAATTTATAAAGCATTAAAAGATAATGTGGGTGTTTCATATAATTGAGAAAACAGGCTCCATTAAAAATTAATTTATTAACTTCCCTATAAAGGTTTTTTCGAACAGTAGTGAATAACAACAACAAAAATTCATTTTATATTATTTTAATTAATTGAATTTTTGGCTGACACTACAGCTGTTTCGAGTATTGTCAAATACCCATTATCAATGGTCTTAGAAATAATTCTTGTATTTAATTATTCGTAAATAATTTTTGAGACTGCAAGTATCAGGAATCGAACTCGTACCCTGCCAAATTTGAAGCTCAGAGTCAGCACTCCTTAACCAACTAACCCAAAGCTATACTTGACTTTTCATGTTCGCACATTTTTCTGGAGTTTTGTTACTTTCCTGTGAAAGTTTTATTATATTTCCTTATAAAATAAGAATATTCTAAATCTGGATATTCTAAATCATATTCTCTTACTAATACTTGCTTAAAGGTCTAATAAGGATGTTTTAGCTCCAATGAGGAAGTGATTGTGAAAATTCAAATCTATTTGGAGGACCAAAACAAATCGTTCTATAATAGGAAATAAAAGACAGTGAAACAGTGAAGTGTGGGAATGAAAGTGTTACCGATAAAGGGCTTACATTGTTGAAAAGTTGTTAGTTTTCTGTTAGACGATATAAGAAACCTATGGATATAGTTGTGATTCCTTAAATTCTACTTCGACTGAACGTAGTTCCATTTCGGTTTCTTGCCTGTTGTTTACACTTACATATATGTTTGTGCGAGTATCTAACGAATATTTTTGTAGTACTTTGGCAGCTCACTGAGTTGAATACAAATGCGGCAAGTCGAACAAATAAACAAATAAACATAAATAAAGCGTAACGAAATTTGTGTTTGTTGTGGGCGTTGAAGACAGTTCCAGCCAAATTTCTTTTGTTAATAATATTGAGCACATTTTAACATTGTGTTGAACTATTTTCAATGACAGCTTAAAAGGCTACGCTACCAATAAAAGCGCAAGGAGCAGCAGCAACGCTTTCAATAATAAACATCAAAATATTGTGAAGACGACCAGAAAAGCAAAAGTAAGCAAAAATGCTTCCGAAATGTATCAGAAAAGAGAAAGCACAAGAACACAAAAAACAACACAAAAAATAACACAAAAATTTTATTTCAAAATTGTGAAGCTCACAATCAATGCAATTTATCGCGCCGTACGAAGAGAACGTCTTGGAACATCCTATCAAAACATCATTAGACGCCTGAATGCATTCCATATATATACGTAGAAAGAAGTATTTGCATGGCGTGGGAGCAGCATTTTAACAGCAACTGTTACACTAACAGTGACGCTGGCAGTGGCGCTGGCAGTGGCTGTGGCAATGGCAATCGTTAGCCTAGCACTGCAGAGTTAACCAAAAATGCAAAAATATTGAAAAAAGAAGAAGTTAACCTAAAACTTCGAAGTAAATATCATGTGTACTGTTGTATGTTGGTTGAGTGTATGTGTGTGTGTGTGGTGTTTTTTTTCATTCATCCATCCATCCATCATCCATCTTCACTAGGCCCTTAACAAGAATTCATACTCGTGTTGATTATTCTTTGACATTTTTCAAAATATTTTCTTAACGCTTTCACTAACATTTTCAATCCTTCCGTTTTTGCCGTTTTTGCGTTTTTTGACTTCTTTTCTTCGTTGTCTTACTTTTTTTCATTATGTTTTAAAATATTCAACTATGTATTTGCAACAAATAATTTGATTCTATGCGGATGGGGAGGGGGATGGAGGCGAAGAGTAAGTAATAAGTTAAGACTGCAAAATTTTTTGCTTTCTTCGAATTTTTTGCCTTTTTTGCTTTTTTAAGCTGTCATTGACGTAAGTCCTTTGGGAATTGAGTTTTGAGCAACAACTTAAAGTACAGACAGAGTTACGACTAATACTACATTTTAAGGACATAAGGATTGAAATTTTAATTTGTATGAAAAGTATTTAAGAATTTATTTAAAAGAAATGAGTGAGACATGAGTGAAAAAATGACGAACTTATTTACTTCTCTCTCTCACAGGCGATTACTTTGTTCAGATTGATTAGTCCTGAAAGTATTGTAAAGTTAATGCGATTTCTATGAATATGTTTAATTTTTATATTATACGTATATAGTCACACATGGTAAATATGTTTGAATTCTACACATAGTGGAAGAATTCTGTCTCAATGACTACGCCTGCCCTATGTAATATGGAAGGGTGACAAAAATGATAAATTTAAATCGATAAGATGTTCTATTAACAATAACTATATTAGATAAGACAAAAAATATTCACAATATAACATTTAACATTTCAACAACTAAATAACATATTAAATAAATTAAATTATTAATTTATATATATATATATATATATATATAAGTTAAATATTATAACTATATGGTATAAACATAACTTTTTACATACTTCTCACAACATCAAAGCAACTTTTTTTAAGCAAAAGGGTTTGTAATCAGAGCCATACATGTTTATACAGTGATCAAACGAAATCGAAGACACTTGCAACGTATGAATGTGCGGCCAACTAATCCGCACACAAGGGGGAAACACGAAATAATATAGAAATGTTCCTAACTACTATAGAAGCTAAAAGAAGAAAATTAATAGAGTTTTCATAGACAATTCTATTTAATTGTTCTTGCTTATTCCTTAAAAATATATATGTGTATCTTTATGTAATAGAAAATATTAATTCTGGATGTAAAGATATTTTAATGAACTTATGTATTTTCTTTGACATTTTGCAAATTATATTAAGGTGTATCCCTATACCTCCGCACCTTAGAGCAGTCGTCACTGATCTGTCTTTATACTCTGGAAAGAGTTATGAATTTTACTTTCCAATTGCTGTAGTAACAGAGTATTTATCATATTGGAGAGACAAAATGCTGAATAGCTTAAAGATTTTAAATACATTTTCTACCTATTCTTTGATGCTAATATTTGGAAAGCTTACAGAACTATTAACTGGTTTCTTGCGATATCTGAACATATCCCATATTTCTGTTCTCTATACTAATTATGCTCCATTTTTAATGAAAAATTTTACCAACGCACCTTTTGATATTCATTATAGCTGTGTGCTTTAGCTGTGTTAAAGAACTCATAGTTAATTAAATGATGAGTCCCAAGTGATATCACTTCATCACAGAATGATTGTTTCTATTTACGATTCATGAAATTTGATTTATTTATTTTTTTACCGATGGATTCATCTAACGCTTTTAATATATTATTTGAAATTTTCATACATGCTTGATCGATATTAGAACTGTTATTCTGTGATATAATACAACCGTCACTTTTTGTTGCTCTAGCATTCAGTTTTGAACATATAAGTCTGTTCTGTGAATTCTTATTAATATAAACAACTAAAATATATTTTACGATTTCATTTTCATTTAAATTTTATTTTTTAAACACCACGATATTCAATTATAGAAACTTTCATAGGCGTTACTTTGCGATTTTACACGCAGACTCTTAAGCCGCAAAGGATCTTTTGAGACGTTTCAACCAGCAAGAAGATAGATAACTAGCTCAAATCCACATGCTCATCCTCAGGATAAAACCCTGAAATTATTTACGAAACTGACAGGTTGACCAATACCGCGCTATCGTATCTCAGAATGGTTACACACTCTTCGGGGAGGTATGCAGATCTGAGGTCAGTTATTGCTTAGTCTGATGAAGTGATAAACCATAATCCAGTCAAGGCGTATAGAGGGATTATGAAGAAGCATCGTAGTTAACAGAGAGTAAAAGTGCTCAAGTGCACTGACTCAACTAGCCTCAACATAATAATTAATAATAATTAAATTAAAAAATAACTTCTTAGTCAATGTGACTAGTTGTTGTTAATTTAAATAATAAAAATAAAATAAAAAAAAAAGTTTTAATCTATGTGATGCTTTTCTGAGAGGATTACATATTATTTAATGTTAAGAAATGTAAAGAAATTTGTAATATTGAATTTAATTAATTTCAAAAAAAAATTTTTTTGATTTGGTTTTTTTAATTGAAGTATCTTTTTACTTTTACATTGTTTTAAAACCATTTAAGTTATTTGTTAGCTGAATGCTGCAAAAAATGTTCACTGAGAGATAAATTCTTTTTAAAGTGTTCTGTAGCAAATATTATTGTAGAATAGAACTTTTTGTGAATTCGTTAACTTACAGAAGCATGCTTTGCAGTGTTGCTTCTTCAAAACTTTTCTACGAATGCTTACATTCCAGAATATGATCCAATATGAGATATCCGATACCGTAGACTTCATTATTAACGAAGTAAAAAGATTTATTCAGCTGAAGCTGTGTGCATCTTTTGCAGTAGGTACAGGTCGTATTTACAGGACGATAAAGCGGTCGTTAAACCAAATCAGGATATTGATATGTCCATAAAAAGTAATTTAAGAGGAAAATGTTTGGAAAAACACAGAACAACTTTAACTGAGGTATGCATTTAAAGTCTAACATTCAAAAAACCTAAGGCAACAATACAATATTATATTAAACAAAATTTATAACATACAAAGGGCATATTTTATGCAAATTAATTTTTTAAGCAAATATGTAATTCAATAAGAATTTTAAATGAATTTTTTACATTTTAATAATTTGATTTTGGGAGTAACTGGCGTAAATACCTGTGTCTATATGAAAATGGGATGTTTTTGAATATTGTTGTGATATGAGTTGTCAAATAAATTGCATTCATATTTTATATTTTCATATTAATTATATAAAAATATTTATAATAAATATGCCTTTTGTGAACTACATAATAATTCATATTAAATTTTGAATTCCATTTTTAAATAATACCAATTTGGCGTAGCCATTTTTAAATAAAATAATTATTTGCCAATAAAACTTAATACAATGTGAATATTTTAATATTTTTAAACGGATTTTACATATATTTTAATTACAGTACTCACCCCCGTGTCGTATTATGCCCACATCCAATAGAATTGATGCCACCAAATCAGCCTTTTGTCTCGAGCTATCATAACGCTCTGAATTAATGGGAACTTGGAGCGGACGATACAGTGTTGATATACATAATGTGCCCAAATTTTCCGTTGCTATATCATGTACTGTCACCAGAGATTGCTCAATTGCATCCTGAAATGAAGTTTCATCAAAATCAATAATCGTATGAAAACACCAATTTTGTAGTTTTTTTTTGTGGGTAAGTTTGGCAATTGATAAGAAAAATAAATAAAATAAAGATTAATAACGAATTCTTATAAAAATTATTATTTTTAATATAAAATAAAAAAATTAATATAAGTAAATGTTCTATAACTTATTCTGTAACCTTTATTTGGAATCTGTGTTTCTTCTCTATTATAAATAATTCATTTAAAAGTATTTACTTAATAATATGATAATAGCTTAGTTAAATAAGTAATTATATAAAAATAAATTATTCAAAAGATATTCAAAGCGCCATTATAATACCACAAGCAGATTAACACTGGTGATATACCCGTATATATAAACTACACCAATATAGCAGGATAAAGGCAAATTTAAAGAGAATTCGATTAAAGATACTGGCGGAGAGGTTAATCAAATATACTTGAGTTTCAAGTAATAATAAATAAATAATAAATAAATTAAAAATTATCAGTTTATTTACTGGGTTTAACTAGTTTGCACCCAATGGAGGTTTGGGATTCGAAAATGCTTTGGCCGTCACACAAATGATTTGATGCATTATGATAAACTAGAAATTCAATTGATTAAAAGGCTTGTTTAGTAAACATACGCTTATGTCAGTGGAAAACAAAATTATGATTTACAAACAGGAATTGGGACCTGTTTGAACATATGGATTACAACTATGGGGTTGTACATCTGCCTCAAATGGAGAATTAATCCAACACTTTCAAAAAAAGATGCTAAGAGTCATTACTAATATTTCTTGGTATACCCGCAACAGTGACCTACATCGAGATTTAAACATGCCAACAGTTGCAGATCACATAAACAGAGACTTCAACATCATTTTAATGCAGAAGCATCCTCCTTTCTTCATACAGAAGGACTAATACGAACTAAGCTGTTTAATTTGGTATCCATTTACATTATAAGTAACATATTTTATTATATTATTAACGACTGTAACCATTATGAGATTCTGTAACGCGGTGTTGGTAAGTGTGCAGTTTTCGTAAATATTTTCGGTTGGAGGTGATAACGAATTTTGGCACAGCTAATTCTTTTCAGTTGAACATGTTGGAGCCATGTGAATCGTTTGTTCAACGTGATGCCGAGATATTTAGCGCTATCTTCCCAGTTAATTATCATATATCCCACTCTCACTCTGGACGGGTTCTGTCTCCACTTACGCGTAATAAACAGAGCCTTAGTTTTTTCATTATTGGTTTTTATTTTCCATTTCTGGAAATACTCCAGGATAAGGTTTATATGCTTTTGAAGTGTGTTATTATACGTATTTAGATAATGTCGACTATTAAATGGGTCAGTAAAATTAAAATCTAAAATCTTTTGCTTTTGATTTCCGCTTGAAAGAAAAAACATATTTATTAAGTTTGATAACCTAAATGATTAAATAGAATGAAAGTATCTAAAGTCAAGCCACTGATTAGAAAGTTATAGAGAACACAATCTATTTGCAAATTATTTGTTAATATTTTAAATTACTGTTATTGTTTGTTTATTTATAAAACATGTTATTGATGCATTTTATTTAATAATAACATCGAAAAAATTTTTAAATAAGTGTTTATTCATTGCTTAATATTAAATAAACATTATTTCGATATATTATAAGACAAATTGTTTTTTTTTGTAAATATTATCGGCTGCTATGTCAAAATTTCTACGCATATAAATAAAATTCACAAAAGTCAATCATGCCGAAATGACCCTTTAATCATTTAAGTGGAAAATGCGTTTCTGGCTTTTAAAGTAGTACCTAAACCACCTAAACGTAAACGAAGCACATGGAACAAACCACTACACTAACCAATACCCAAAGGAATAATAAACAGTCAGATCAACTTAACTACAAAATATGTTAAGTACACTTGTTTCTGTCAAGTATGAATGCTGCTTGCGCCTTAAGCGTCTTAAATTTTAAATCTTAGTTTCAAATAAATTTACTTATGTTTATGTTCACTTGTGACAGCTATCCATGAGAATATAACATATACATACAAACGTAGGTATTAGTACTACTTTCTTAATTCGAATATTCGCTGATATTCGAACTATTCAGCGAATGTGAATATTAGAGTTTCCATCGAATAGTTCGAACTGCACGAATAATTCGTTATTCGTTTTATTACGAATTATTCGTCGATATCGAATACATTAAACATTATTGAATGAAGAAATATAAAACTCTTTAAAGCTTTTTGAATCTAACAATTTTTTACACATACATTGTGTGACAAATAGTATGGTGCTAAGTAGTATGTGGCAATGGGCCGAGTGTCTTCCAAGCTGAAATTCATGCAATGAATTTATACGAAAGATTCAATATTATCAAAAAACTGTACTATCTGGCTTGAAAATTGTTATTTACTCTGACAGCCAGATGCACTCAAAGCTCTGTCTTCTTGGTCTTTCAGACTTTCAAGTCGAAACAGGTCCTTGAGTGTTATTTGCTCCTACACTTACTTGCAGCTTGGAATAAGGTAAGTTTTTACTGTGTTCCGGGTCACAGGGGAGTTTTGGGAAATAAACAAGCTGATGAGCTAGCCAGAACTGCCAGTAAAAAACAAATCATATGCGGCTAGAGTACTGGGAAGACTTCTCAGAACTTAGACAAAGCAAAGCACTGATTAAATCGTCCTCCTACACAAAAACATTCCAAAATTCTCAAAATGTAATTTAAGGTTAATAACAGGTTTCATTACATGTCATTATGACCTAAAATATCACCCTCATAAACTACGAACTTTTGTTAATTTGGAATACAGATTAGGTCTCGATGATGAGGAAACACTAGGCATATTCATTGTGACTGTCCAGCTTTAATAACGCGCAGAAGAAACGAGAAACGTGTTTCATACGGAATTTCTGTCACCAGAACAGATTAAGAGTTCGTTTCTAGTTTTAGTTCTGGACTACAAAGCTTTAGTATAAAGCTTTAAAGGGCTTTTGTGTAATCAATAGTGAAATTGATACAATAAAACTCTTCTAACCTTAGTACCGGCTGTTGGGCGATTTCAAGTCAAAGCTTTCAGTAATGTGTGACAAATTTTATAGTAAACAAGTGTGGGGCACACCATGTCTGTGCTGAGCGGATGGGGTAAGTTTAAACACGAAGTTTTAGGAAGCCTAAGTGGCCTTTAAACCTGTTGAAGGAATTCGAGACCTTGTATTGGTTGTATGGATATACTCTATGATGAAGAAAATATCATCCTAAATCATGCTTAATAACGATAAGAGTTGAATCAAGACACTGTACTGATACTGTAGTGAGTCTGTACTGAGCTGCTTTCAGTAGACTCCATCAGGCAGTTCGATCAGTGGCATATTGTCGGCAGGTGGTAGTACCGAACGATAAAAACCCCTATAAAATGCTGTGTGCAATGCACTAAACAGAATATATGTAAGTAGGTGCCTCTCAACGCCCCTTTTATTTCTACATTTCCGTGCTAGATATTTTAATATTTAGCCAAAGTGGCGGTGACAAATTTTAGAATTTTGCAGTACACAAAACAAATAAAATAAAATGAAATGAAAATCAAAACGAAACAAAACGAAACGAAACGAAAAGCAAGATGAAATAAAGTGGAAAATACGCTTGTTGTTGTGCTTATCAGCAAACGGGAACTGATATCGAGCTTATGCACATTATATATGTGACTTACCCTGGTTATGATGCTGCCGTCACCAATGCGCACAATGCTTTTTAATGCTGCGAGATTTGTTGTTGTAGCCGTTGACGCAGCAGCTTCATCTACAAACGCTGCTGCATACTCAACTTGTAAAATTGCTAATGTAACCAAAAGTACCGAAAACAATGTTGACAAACGAGTTGAGTGCAGTTGAATCATTTTCGGTGCGTTGGCGTAACAGTAGTTTTGTTTTTGTATAAATTTGATTTGCTGCACTTGGTCTTGTTCTTTTCTTTGTTGTTGCTGCTGGTCTTGTGCTTGTTGTTGCTTTAGTTGAACTCGTTGAATTCGTTTTGTTAGGCTCTGTTCTGGCTGTTGTACGTGTAGTTGATTCCGTTGCTGACAACAAAGACTTAACTGTATACATGCTATTTTTATTGGTGGTGTTGCTGTTTTTGTTGTTTTTGTTGTGGTTGTTGTTGGCCATGTTGTCAACATGCATTTCATTGTTGCTTTTCATTTGGAACTTTGCTGCTGCAAAAAATGACAAAACAAAAGGGAAAATATGAAATATATGAAATTTCTGTAAAAATAAGTAAACAAAAATTTTCTTTGAAAGAAAAATGGCAAAATGTTAACATCAAGCCTTTGTATTGAATATACCCAGCGGCACCATTATGCCAGCGCTGAAAAAGTAAGCGAGGAGGTAATAGCTCTTCGTTTTTATTTTTCTTTGTTTTCGACATTTGTGTTCGACATAGGCAATTTCGGGGTTGAAATTATAAAAGAATGAAGAAGAAAAGCAAAGGAGTATTAAGAATTTCTTGTTTTGCCTACATTGTATACATTTAGTCTGCTTTTGATTTTAGTGAAGTGCGTGCAGTGAACAATTTTTAAAATCAAAATATAAATAAAATATAATTTATAATTTAACATAAACTCACTGTAAGTATATGGAAAATTAAGTAAATATATTTAAAATGATAATTGCAATTTTTGTTTTGTATTATGTAGATGCTACTGCGTCAAGAACGATTAATTGGCCAATGTGCTGCGAATGCAGTCATTGTAAAGCAAGGGGTAAAAGGTAGTCAGCTGTTTCAATTGGAAAATTTTACAATTCAAACTGAGGAGGAGATAATTCAATTTAATGAAGAAATCACTGCCGTTGAAGTAGTTGTAAGTTAAATTATATATGTTTCTTACTTTCAATTTCAACTTATTAATATATTCACATGTAACAATTTTACTAATTCATACATTTCTTTTCATCTATTACGTTATTTATAGACTGCATCAATGAGACGCGTTATTAAAAAACAATCAATTACGCGAAAAATTTCCTGGAATTTTGGAGAATGGTACCCAAGGCAAGAAGTTCTTAAGAGCATTAGAGAATGTGACAGCAGCACTTTTTGGTATGGTATATTGTACATAATTAACTTTAGCGTATACAATAACATACTTTTGTATTTACAGATGCTTTAAGTACAGATGGTAAGCCGGAACAAGTGATCGAGTCGAGTCTGGAAATCTCTTCAAGGTGTTAGTAACAATTTCCAGAAAAATATTCATCTATATAAGTATGTTACATTTTTTTATGTAAATATTAATATTTTAATTGTATAAAACATAAATATAAAATATAATTTATTCAAAAAAATTTATAGTATTTTATTTAAAAATCAATAGCATAGGTAAAATTGAAAATTTAAGCGAACATATCAGCGCTGATATGTTGCATTACAAATTCGAAAAGGTAAGCTAACATGTCAGCGCTGATATGTTGCATTACAAATTCGAAAAAGTAAGCGAACATGTCAGCGCTGATATGTTGCATTACAAATTCGAAAAGGTAAGCGAGCATGTCAGCGCTGAAATGTTGCATTACAAATTTGAAAAGGTAATCGAACATTTCAGCGCTTGCCCGCAATGACATGCACGTGTTAAAGTAATTAGGAGTTTCATTTGAATAATCAGCGCTAGGCATTACCATTCAGCGCTGAGGGAATCGATTCCCTCAGCGCTGAAAGTCCCGCTGGGTAAGAACACTTGTTCACATGCACATATAAACACACACATACACATAGTGGAAAATGGACACACACACACACACCATTGAATTCCTTACTTGAAATGCAATTGCTGAGATGTTAATCTCTTGGAAAACGTATGAAACTGAGTTTCATAGTTCAAAAGTGCTTCTAAGTGAGAGAGGGGAAATGTCAAGCTGAAATTTGGTGCAATATTCTTGAAATGTTTTTAATGTTTGCGCAATGAATTATGAGCATATATAAGTACTCTTCAGTAATTGTTGTTGTTGATGTTGTTGTTGTTGTTGTTGTTGTTGTTGTTGTTTTGTTGGCTGTCACTTTTGTTTTGTTTTGATGTTGTTTTTTATGTTAATGTTTATGTTGTTTATAATAAAGCCAAATAAGGATAATGAAAGTGCATGATGGGCATTGTAATTATATTTGCTCGACATGAAAAATTTTTTACGAAATGTGTTTTTTGTTGTTTCGTTTGTTCCGTTATCCCCAAACAAGACCGAAAGTTGGAAAATAATTATGTATGTTACAATTTTACAAAAGCTGTTAATTACCATCCGAGAAGTGTCCTGTAGATGTTGAGTTTGTTTGTGATTTAGTAAATCATGAGCTAACATGTGTGCTAGCTAACAGCAGCAAGAATGGACAAAACATCCATTTTAATGTTGAATTTTTAAAAAAAAACCTGTAAAAAAAGTTATCTACACCGTGATTTTGACTTGGCAGGTCTGTTTCAGTAATCCATTTAAAGCAGAACTATCGTATTAGGCATTACTGTGAAGTTAAGGTTTAAGATTTTACAATATTAATCAGAGACGATACGTTGATTTTATGTCAGACAGATAAGTTTTCTTACGTGTGGCATCAGCCCAAACTAGTACTGCATAGAGTATAATGAAGCCTACTATATTTGTCAGTAATTTCCGTCTGCTTGCTCGTGGACCTACAATATTTGCGATAATGCGTGATAGCGCTGTATTTACACGATTTGCCTTATAGTTCACCATGTTAAGATGATCTTAGAAAGATATACGAGTGTCTAGTAGTACCCCAAGGAACTTTATATAGGGTCGGGATTCTTAGCCTACATGCGCTTAGGATTTTATCAACGTCCACTACAGGCACATTTACGTGTTGAATTTGTGTACATTGGTAAGCTTTTGTCATACGTATTGCTGTTTCTTCAGAACGTTGGGTACCGCATTGTGCTTGTATGGCTTCGCAAACTTGCACTACGCTTATGACCTCGTCAATTTCCGAATTTGTATTATGGTCGAATGTGTTTTCGTAGCCAATTTAACTGTATTCTGTAGTACACTTTCTCTTTCGGATTGAAACTGGGCAGCGCAATTCTCGGTAGAACGTTTGGGTTCCAGTATCAACTCATACTTTGCCGTTCTACATATCGCCTTTAAACTTTCACCAAGTGGTTTTAATACCTCGTCATCCTTTAAATTCATTAGTAAATTTCTGCACATGAAATATTTGTTGATGCAAATATGATCAGCGCATCTAGTTTGGACCCAGTTTTGTGAGTCTGATTCGATTTTTTGTTTTTTTTCGGTTTCACTTTTGTTCACGTTGTCTGTTCTTCTTTTGCATAGGTATCAGTTTTCTTTTCGTTTCGCTGCAGTAGTCATCACTTGGGTAGTTGCTTCATTGTCAAGTTCATTTGTCCACCTTCAGTTGTTGTTGTTTGGCTCAACTTTGAAGCTCCTCAGAGTTTCTGTGACCTCTTATGTCACACGCTCCGACTCCTGGCAATACTGGTTGTTTAAACATTTGAAATTATATTTAATAGTTTATTCAAACTGTCTCATTCAGGCCGTTGCTTATTTTTATTAATGAGTAAACGTTCACATTATTCGTTCAATAGTGTATCACACAAAAAAATTATACATTTTATGTATAAAACATATATACATTATGGAAAATTTATTTTTAAGGGTTGCATTCGACATTTTTCGTCTTAAATGAGCTGATTTATTGATAATGAGCTCATTTATATGGAAGATTGTTTTATGGTTAATCATCCTCATTAGTGGCTATAATGAGCAAAACTGCGTAAATGAGATAGTGTGAATGTATTATAAAATGTACTTCAAAATAATAAAGTATGAATTAATTTATTTTTATGTATATAAGTATATAAATTGCTGCTTATATTTACTGTTTTCAATGAATTATTAAAAATTCTTTTTTGGAAATGTTCTTTTAAATAAAATAGCGCATATTTTAGTTATTTTTCCTTGTAGCAATCGATTATGCAAATGAAATTACAATAAAAGATAACTACGCCTAAATAAAGAAATTAAGTAAATAAAAATCTAAATTAATATTAATCGATATATCCATCTATCCATCTGTAAGATACAATATGCAAACAAGAATAATATTAATAAAAAATCAACAAAATGAAACGAAACCAAACCAAACCAAACCAAACCCAACCCAATGAAATGACAAGAGCACAATGACTGCTTGACGTAGGAAACATAGGAAATAAAAGAACAAAAAGTTATGTGAAGATATCGGAAACGCCATGCAAGCAAAAGCACTCAGAGCCAACACGTTCGCTCACACTTATACATACGCACATACACATATAACCACATTTGCTAACAGAGTCGTTTGCATATGGAGTTTGTTGCGTGCATTTAAATAGTAAATTAATGAATTGAGTGAAATATTTCTATGTATTTTAGTCCCAAGTTCGTGTGACAATCAAAGGAAATATGCAGAGTTATATGTGCGACGAGTAGTAATGAATTGCGCATAAGGACACCTACATGAAGCCTACAGCCCATATGAAGTCGTAACCAATAAGGTCCTTAGTAACCAATAAGGCATTCAAAACAATAAATAATCGTGCCAAACCGACGTGCAAAGAGATCACAACACCAACAACAAACAACAAACAAACAATATAAAAGTTTTTTTATACACTTATTTGCAGAGCAGAGTATAAATGAAAGCTGCTGTGCGTGCTGAGCGACGTAACAATGGAGATACCGATGGCGTCCTCAAATCTTGACAGTATCTAAGTATAGTACGTGAGTATGTGAGTTTGGTAGGCATTTATTTTACAGTGTAATCAAATACAATTTTTAGCCTGTTCCTTTGCTGACATGAATGTACAAAAAAGGATGTTAGTGCTGTGTAAAGCGTGTTCTCGTGCATTGGAATACACATAATAGAAGCCGTTAAAAAAACATTTCCAAACAACAGTTGTTCGTATAATTAAAATTAAATTAAGCTACCCCTAAGCCATTAAAATGATGTAATTTCAAATTAATTAATGTAAATCACGTTTAAGCACACAAACCAATCGCAAAGCACACCCAGCCAACACAACAGCCAACAACTGCCGCATTTTAAGTTAATAAAACTTATTATATTATAAAACTGTCATGTAATGACAATATGGTAAATTAGATAATTATTGCACATACTCAAATGATTTGAAT